AAATATTATTGTACTTCACTTCTGTGTATCTCAAAAATATATTCACAAGCGGAAAATATTTTTTTCGCAGTTTACAGAAGTATTGGCTTTTTCCCAAATTTTATTTAAAATAACAACATAAAATAAACTATTTGCTTCCAGGAACGTATTACTAACAATAATTTGATGACAAACAGCCAGTGTCGTCGTAAAAAGTAACGTCCTATATTTTTTTTATTTGCTTATTCGATAGTCCAGAAAAAATAGGGTGCAGGTTTTTTTTAATTTTCAGATGCCGAAAGTCTTTAAAAGAATTCGTAAAGATAAAAATTTATGGAGTACATCATTTGTCTTGATCACATCAGCCAATGAAATAGAAGTTCATTAAAAAGTTCTAGTACAACGTTGCTTTTGCTTTTGTCACTTAGTTCTTAATCTAACTGATACTACAAGTTTAAAGTTCACGTATGGCGCCTCTAAAATGTTTGTATTTTTAAAATGTTTTTGGATAGCGTTGTTGTTGTGCATTTATTTTGTATATAAGATGTTCAGTATAGAGATCAAAATAATAGTAAAACTTCCTATAATTTTTTTCCATCTAACTTTGAAACCATACCTTATACAATTTGATAAAATTTCGACGTAGGTAGTGTTTTACAGATAAGGTGTCTTGATTTAATTTTACAACACTTTTTTTCAATTTTCACAGATGTGCTATTACACTAAAAATACATATAATTTTTAGATACTCTGAAGATTTTTTTAAAAGAAAAAGCATTCTTCATTTATTTCTATAAAATAAACGATTTTCGAAGTACAGGGTGTTTCGCATAAGAACCGACACAGGGCAGATGCATGTAGGGGTGTCCAAAATATTGTAATTTAACTAAACACCTATATACAAAGTTGCACCCCTGAGCAGTTATTAGCCCCCAAAGTGGAGTCCTAAATTTCGAAAAAAATTAATATCTCTGCAATACTTTATCGCAGAAGAACCAAATTTGGTACATGATTTAGGTTTTTTTTTACCACACAAATTTTCACTATGAACAAACTAGACTGTTTTTTCAACAGTACCTAGGTAGGTAAATGTAGACAAAGCAACAGAAGTTAGTCCGTATCTCTACGATGTTTTCACGAAAACTGAATGAAATATTAAGTTCAGTAATTTTAAAGAATAATTTTAAAAATCTTTGTACTCTATCAGATAATTTTTGTACTTTTTGTAATTTCATACATACTTTTTGTAATTTTTGTAATTTACCAAAAAATTTGGTAATTTTTATACTTTAATAAATAATTTCTATACTTTTAAAGTAATTTTAAATTATAATATCTCAAACGTACACCAAATATTACTTGTGGCACACCCCTCGGTTTATTAGTGGTCTTCTTTGACTCTGATTTAAAGCTAATTGAAGCACTGCAAGGTATTCATTGGGGATGACTCACCCCTAAAATTAGTTTTTATACGGCTTCAACTATCTTCGTAAACACTATACCTACTAATTGTTGTTATTATTGTTTCAAAAACTGATTTATCTTAAGAACCCTTCATTTTATCGACATAAGTGAAGAGTACCTTTTTTAAAGAAAAATATTCAGAGCATCTAAAAATTGTTACTGTTCGATAGCATATCTGTCAAAAATAATCAGTTTGTGGATATCTTCTAATGGTAAAAAACCAGTACAACAAAATTTGAAAAAAATATATAATGCCAGGAGAAAATTTCTAGATACTCATTTGGAGCCCGATAGGAGCAACTATTAGAAAAACAAATGCTAGTGTTATTTTGACATCCCTTATACGGTTCCGAGAGATTAGTACAAACCGACACAAATAAGTTTGTTTTTATCTGGCAGAGCTGCTCGGGATTGAGAAAGAACGCATTCGGCTAAAAGGAATAAGACATAGGCGTGGCGATTTGGGATAGCGGTTTCTGGAGCGTTTCGCTTGCCGTGTCCAGTGCATATTTGTGGACGGAGCTATCTCAGATGCAAACTTATTCATGTCGGTCTGTAGATACTTGTCGGATATCCTGTATATTTGGTAACTAGTGCATTATTTTTTATCCAATAGCAATAGACAGTGAAACGTGGTCTTGTCAAGCTGGATTCTCTCCCACGAATTGAAAAACTTTGCAATATTTAGGACATATTATGATAGACTGGTGGGCGAGGGGTGGATAACTCAATACAAATTTGTACACAGATTTTAAATCCCAATTAATTAGGACTGATTTAAGTCCTATTTTTCAATTATCCAGATTTAACATGATTTAATTGAGAAATTAAGAGATTTAAATTGAGAACTAAAAAGTTATTAAATTTGATTTAAGGACATTTCTTTGGATTTAAGGAGATTTAGTTAGATTTAAGGTACTGGATGGTGATTTATATTGATTTAAAAGTGATTGGACCAGAAATTTAACACAAGTCAATATTACTGACATTGTTTTTGCCTCAGTTAAAATGATTTTACTAATGTAAATTACCAAAGTGGAAGCAACTTCCAATTATCAATGTTTTTTTTTTGATATTTGCTTACTTACACTATACGCGTGAAAATAAGCTGCAAATATAAAATAATGTTTAATAAAAGTTTATGTTATATTTCTATATATTTTTAAAATCTTTATACATTTTCTCAATCTGTACTGTATCATATCTTTTATTTGTAAAAGGTTCGTTTCCACATATGAGAATTGGTCCATAAAAAATAAAATCTCTCTACGTCCTGAACGTCTTCTTTTTTAGCCATATACAGGGTGTCTCATAATTAGTGTCCAATAATTTACTACTTAATTCTATTGCCAACAATAAAAATATGTTTTCATACATATAAATATGGGTCGATAAATGCTTCCTAAGATAGCCCCTAAATGGGACCTCAAGAAATTTTTTTTAAATATTTCCGAAACGGGTTGAAGGATAATTATGCATTCTGACACCATCAACGTGCATTAAAAGTCGAAATAGATTATGATAAAATTTTTGAAAAATATTAGTCAGGGGCGTCCCAATTGGGAGGGTCGTTGGCTAAAATTTGCCCCAATTTTTTTACTTGTCGAAATTTTCAAATTCAGATGCCAACGTATAATGAACTTCACTTCCTCTACAAAAATTTGTAGAGAAAGTGGATTTAAGCATTTCATTACATTACCTTAATAAAATTAAAAATTTTTTTCTTGGATACCAAAAATACCACTATGAATTTTGATATGTCATCATTGTAATGTACAATGTGAAAAGTGCTTAGAGCTGAAAGCACTTAAAGCTAGCGAATTTCGTTAACTTTGCTTATGCTTGTTTTGGCTATTGCGTATTAAGGAGGAAGTTTATGGTCTTATGAAAATTTAAATCACGATTTAATAGATTTATAAATATTTTTTGGCGATTTATAATGATTTATAGGAATTTAAAGGAATTTTAATAGATTTAACGCCTCCGAAGGTGATTTAAATAGATCTAAAATTATATAAATTAATTTAAAGACAACTGTTGTGATTTAATAAAATTTATAGAGATTTAATTTGATCTGAGCTAAGAATGTACACGAATTTAAGGGAGTTGTCCACCCCTCGCTGGTGGGGCATCCTCATTCATTACGATAGATCTTTAAAACATACGCTCGATTTTAACTTATTAAAAAAAATGCTCTGTATAGTAGGACGTTACCATTATATTACAAAATTAATTATCAAGTAATTAAGCATTCATTGGCACCATCTACTTCCTATACAGAAAATGATTAATTGAAAATTAACAAATGACTAAACTTTGACTAAAATCGACCAACCGTTGCGGGCTTATTTTCGATCCCGTGGTAGCGCAATAACACCCGAAGATTGATAGTTTTCGGAGGCAGCGCGTCGAAGTGGGCTACGAGGAAGCCTTTCAATGCTGCCCCGGCATTGCCAGCAAGGTTACGATCCGCACGCGGCTCCGTGAAAAAAATTTTAACGAATTTGGCGATTTCACGGCCTACTACGGATTGGCGATGCAACTCTCATGCGAACAATGCCAATTGAATTATTGATTGGTCAAGCGGTTTGTGTTTTTTTAATTGCACGTTTATGTCGAAATCGATCTACCTGTAAAATCGAGGAAGTGATTACTCGTATTTCGGTGACGTTATCGAACGATGTCATTTTTTACCGATTGTAAATTGATATTGGAATATTGTTTAATTGAAACGTATATTAATTAATACAACATATTAATACAACACCGATTTCAAATTCCTTTTGGAGTAATATCAATAAGAATTAGGTATCTAATAATTTTGGTAGAAATATATGAATACAGATAACATTAAGTATAACGTAAATTAAATTCAAGAAGTTATTACAAGTTATATTTTCGTTATTAAATAAGTAACTAAAAAAAAAATGTTAGTGTTGAAAAATTTCCTTATGGGTTTGGCCTTACTTGTTGAGAAACAAATTTTGCCAGTCCTGCTTTGATATTTTGCTTGACTAGATTTTTTTTAACGTATCTAAAGCATACAACATTGAAATTTTGCTACGTAAATTTTCCATTTTGATAAACTGTTTTTAATAATTTGATAATACGAGAAATTAAAAGCCATACAAATCAAGAGTTTTTTCGTGTTATTACAACAATAAAACAAATAAAATACGTAATTATGATCTAAAGTAATTGTTCGAAGAATGCACCGTTGACAGTGACACACACGTTTTCTGGGAGATCTTCGAGTTTGAAACAACATATTGATTTAGCATTGCATTTAAATATGCACGTACTGGCCGAGAAAAATGCGGCGGAGCTCCGCTGTGCATGAACCACGTGTCTCTTCTTAAATAAAGTGGAACTTCTTCAAGCCGTGGAAGCATTTTTGCTTGGCCACCCAAATACCCCTATTGTAAAAACTGTTGATAAAATTTGGCCCATTCTTTAGTAATCACTATAAATAAATATGAAAGTTCCACTTTCCGCATTATGTGACAAAATATATTAAGTAGCTTGAATTTTTAATATACATAATTATTTCTTTCCAGAGGGACGACAAATCCCTGCTGGCCCAGTTTTTCTACGCAGACGAAGACCTGAACATCGTGGCCAACGAACTGGACAGCTTCGACGGTCGCAAAGATCCTGAACGCTGCACCACGTTGGTCAACCAGCTGCGCCAGGCCCAGGACAAGGTTCTCACCGTCACCAACGCCATCATGGACGTGCTGATAGGTGACGAGCGGGCTAACAGGGACTTTCGGGTTAAGTTCCCAGAAGACGTCCTCCAGGAAAACCTGGCAGGGCAGCTGTGGTTTGGAGCTGAGGTGAGAGGGTTTACCTGGGGGGTAGACCATCTTAAAATGTGTTTGTCAAATATGAGAAAAAAAATTACCTCCCTATAGTCTGTTTAGAAATGAAAGAGAGTAATAAAAACTTATTATGTATGCAAATCGTAAATAAATGTAGTACTGGTGCTTATATTCAATATTTTTATATTATGTATTATCGGTATAGATGAGGTGTACTTTTAAAAAAACTTTGTGTGACCGGGTTGTACTAAATTGTAGCAGGTAGCTAAAATTTAATCCCCGACAATCCGTCTTTGTCTATGCCGCTTCAATTTCTCGGTCCATTTCTCTTATAAGTAAACAATATAAAAACAGCATTTCAAAACATGAGGCTACTTTAAGCATCATAACCGGGTTAAGAGGGTTTTTAGTAATTCAAATAAAATTATTCAATATTATTATCAAAATATTTATTTAAATTTAATGAATAGACTTTTATTCCACACAAAAATATATGTATTTTGAAAATTCAAATTATGGTGAGTAAATGTAGTGTTGTATAAATGTACAATAAAGAAAATAAAAAAGTAGGTATATTAAAATTCATCCTCTGAATATTCTGATGAATTATCTTCGTCTCCTAGATTGATAACGATAGGTTCCACAGTAACGTCAATTAAATTATCGAGTTCCCACATTTTCTCCTCTTCTTTTTGTACATGATGTATACATCTTTGCCAGTTATCTGCAGTTACTCGTTCCAAGGAATTTTTTAACAAAATTTTCACGTCACTTAATTTAAACGTCGTATTATTTCGCGCTACATCTCCTTTTACCTGCGCCCAGACTAATTCGATTGGGTTAAGTTCACAGTGATAAGGTGGTAACCGTAGTACCGTTATTTGGCGATTTGTTGCCATTTCATCGATAACATATTTTTTCTGATCTTTATTAAGATTGACAAGTGTCAAAAGTTCCTTTTTCACCATATTTGTTTCAAAAGAAATGTTTTTTCCGGATAACCATTGAATTATATCGGCTTTCCTCCAAGCAGTCGTAGGCGTCCGCTCGGTCTGCCGTGAATGGTAACTGGCATTATCCATGACAATTACAGACCCCGGAGGAATAAGATCCAACATCTGTGTAAAATACTCTTCGAAAACATCTGCGTTCATGTCTTCGTGATAGTCACCTGTATTTTTAGATTCAAATAAAAGTAAACCGCCATCTACAAAACCACTGGCACTACCTATATGTGTCACTATTAATCTTCGCCCTTTACCTGAAGGTGCCTTGAACCCTGTTGAAAGTCCATCCAAAAATGCTTGTCGAAAACTTTTTACATTTTTATCTTGCCATACTTTTGTTACAGTATATCCCTCGTTGACCCAAGTTTCGTCTAGATAATAAATATTCCTCCCTTCGTCACGGAATTTTCTAATTGATCTTAAGTAGGATCTTCGCCAACAAATAATTTCATCTTTATCGATAAGAACTGACTTCCTGTTCTGCTTTTCCCAGCAAAAATTCAACTCTCGTAAGACGGCCCATAATTTGCTTCTACTGATTTTTGGCAAATCGTTGTCCTCTGAAAGTTCACTTAAAATTTTGTTTAGCGTTGGTATTTCTTTTTTAAAATAAAATGAGTGTACTTTTCTGCGAATGACATTTTTGAAGAAATCATCTATAACGACTTTTGACCTCCCTGTAGATGATTTTGGGGGATTTACAGTATCTTGTTCATTTTTTGTTTCCTTTAAAAGTCTGTAGATAGTCGATTTTCCAATCCCTGTCATTTTTGTTAGCATTAGTGTTACCCGATAATTACCTGAAACGAAATATTACCACGCCCATGGCCGGTTCTTATCTCGGGGTTTTATTACTCTCTTTCATTTCCAAACAGAGTATAGATAAAAAGGTACCTACATAAAGTTCTTGGTCTACGCCTCGGGAATATAATGTGGAACTTTTTTTATTGTTGCATTTAATTGAAGTTTCTAATGAAGGAATTACTTCTAAAGAGAAATTTCATGTAAGTATATTAAAAAAGTTTCACATTATGCACCTATTTTTTGAGACATGGTATATAATCACAAACAATTCAATTTCATTTCTTTCGTCCAATATCTTGAAAGTGCTACACATAGGAGAAATGAGGCAACAGTGTTACAGTTTTTTGTTCTTAGTGACCTGAGAAACAAATATTACTATTAACTTTGATGCAGATTCCATTTGCTTGATATACATACTTTGAAATGTATATATATATATATATANTTTTTGAATGATGGATTTCACGAACCAAGTTGTCGACACAAATGGTTTTAATTGAAAATGATCTAAATATCCAGTTTTAAAAATATTCTCTTCAACATAACTGAATAGATTTTGTTAAAAATATATATATATAGGGTGTCCCAAAAGTAACGCAAGATTTGAATTGTGCGCCATTTGCATTCCTAAAGGCGGGTATCCATTTGTGTCAAATGCCCCGTAACGTAACACCCAACATGTTACGTTACAGCTAGTCGAGACGGGAAATTGTTGCATGGGACGTGTAACCAATTTGACATGCGTAACTAATCCGGGACAAACCATCAGTTGTCGGTTTTTAGTCGTCGCATCAAAGGGATGCAACAGTACTTTCTGCCACATGTTGCCTATTGTACATGTGATTTTGTCTTATTTTTTGTTTCGTCAGTCTTTTGTATATGGTCTGTTTTATGCAGTGACTAGGAAGAGTGTGTTTTTCTGTGTTTGTGCCATGGAGTGGAGTAAAGAAAATATTCAAAACCTCATAGAACTGTATCATAAAAAGTCTATATTTTGGGATCCTTAAGATCCCGATCATAAAATTAGAAAGCAGGGGCGGAAATCGCAGACGAAGTAGGACGACCTGTGGAGCATTGCAAGATGAAAATGGAGAACCTGTTAGCATCCCTTTGCAGGGTATCCATTATTGCAGTCAGGTTCATACTGCGAGTTTATGTTTCTGTGTCGTCTCATAACCTTATTTTGTTACGTTACGGAATGAATGATACGACCAAAACCACACATACTTTCGCAGCGAACCGTGTCGCCTTTTGCAACAGGCCGTAACATGTTCGTGTTACGTTACGGAGCATTGCCACAAGTGGATACCCGCCTTAAGAATCGGCAGCATTGTCAGGGTCCGTGTTGTAGTAAACCCGTTGCAGTTAGACAACATTGAGCGCTATACGACGAATGAGCGAGTGAAGTTTGTGAAAATTCATTCGAAATAGAAATGGCCCACAATTCAAATCGTGGGTTACTTTTGGATCACCCCTTTTTTTAGAAAAAAAAAATCGTTCTCCTGCTGAAATGCTATAATAATTTTTAAAAAAACTGACAACGACATTGTTAACAATGTAACGGTGTTACATTAAGATTGGTACAGTACCTAGACAAGCCCACTACACATATTAAATACCTATTTATGTCTATTAATACTTTACAATTCTAATGACCTGTAATTCCCAACAATGCCTGAATATTATACACGCAATGCCCTAGCGGTTTGGTCCTGGGATATAGGTTATGTTACTGCCACAAGATGTGACATACATTATACATTAGCAGCCACTGGAATCATTCAACATGTTTTTTAATCCATAATCAGAAAATATATATCGTAGTTAATTTATGTGCAAAAAATTAGAATATGTTTTCAACAATTTCTCCCTCAAATTAATTAATGAAAACGCACAGAAACTTGTGACGTCATGCCACGCGTTAGCAGTTATCCCACATAGTCTTGGCCTCACGTACATCATATTGTCCCTTTTCTCACGTAATACGTAACAGAATGTTGCCATTTTTTCTAAATATAACCGTATATAAATCTTCTGTTTTGAATATGCGATTTTTGGTTAGGTAAAAATAGTTTAAGGAAAATAATCACTAACTGATCCTTCTATCAATAAACATGGAAAAATTTAAACTTACGACAAATAATGAAAAAAACTTTTACAAGTAAATAGCTTGAGACAAAAAGCTAAAAGCCTCTTGCTTAGAGCCTACACTAAATGTAGGAAGCACGTGTACGGCGACAGTGTAGACGAGTGACAGAGAGAGAAAGATATAGCTTGGGTACTATCTTTCTCTCTCACGCAGGCACGTGATAAATTAACGTGAGAGAGACAGCGAGTACCCAAACTATCGGCCTTTCTCTCTACAGCGTCTACACTTTTTAATACGCGGTGCTTTCTTCACGTATATGCTCTGAGGTTTGGACAGTTTCAAGATATTTTACGAATATAAATTATTTATCGCGACTAATATTAAAACTATTGACTTGATTTTGTCACCATTCTCAACTAAATTGTAAACTAAGTGTTGCGGAATGAGTCCATTGTTTCAAGAAGTAAAATTTTAACTTTTATATTAGAAAAACATACTTTTTAATGCTAAATATTTAGTTCTTCAACAAACTTTAAATAACATACGTAAATAAACCTCTATCACTAACTGAAATGAATTTAGAAAAGAAATCGAGACGTTTCCTCTGTTGCCGCACTTCCCCTATCTACATTTTAACGTGGAAATTCGTGGAAAATTGTTGATGAATTAACTCTATATCTTGACGTAATTATATTTTATCGCTACAAAAATGGTACCCTTTAACATTTAACGTATGCCTCGATATGTCCTTCAGCGGCTGGGTTAGGTTTTTCATCCAGCAGCCGTATCAGTAGGTGGCACGTCCACTTCATAGGTCAGATATTGTTATCTCTATGAACCATTAAAGGTCAACTTAGACATTAAACTTGGGAGTTCTACGTCAATGTAAATATTTCCGATATTGGAAATTTATTAGGTAATTAATAACCGTGGGATTAGGTGGAAAATTACTCCTGCATTTTATAAATACCAGAGCGCTGCGAGGTATTCATTGACATTTGCCTAAGAATTCGCTTTATGTTCAATTTAAATATCCATAGATAATTTTTAATATGTATAATATCGCTTCTTTCAAACTTTAAGACTATGTATAACCTTATTTTTACTTATTTGCGTTTAGATTCCGTGGCGGCTTTGACTTCCATACCAGGCAGGGCGAAAAAATTTATGGACAAAGTATTGAAAAAAAATCAAATATAATTGGGTAGTTTAATTTTAAGTACTATTGAATGTACTCCACATTATTTTTTATTGTGTAAGTCCATTCTTCTGCTTTTGTCCGAAATAAACTTTTCAATTAGTTGTTCATAATTTGCAAGTGCTCTCCAATTTAAAAAAAAATACACAAGAAACAATATGTAAGTAACAAAATTTTACACCAGTTTTTTGAGTTTTACTCGGAAACTATTCATTTTTTTCACTATAGTTGTCAACAGAAAAGTTGTAGCAAATTGAATTTCCAATCGAAATGAGACCTTTTGAAAACTCAAAAAACTGAAAATACCACCTTTTTACTTCGTTCTCAAAAACGCACCCCTTTAAAAGGTAGCACTCCGCGGTTTTATCATTTTTTAGGGTCAATTGAACATATCAAACAATAAAATTTCTGATACGTTGTAGTTCCTTTGTACCCTCTTTTTTTGACATAGTCAATAGCCTATAAGGGCCAATCAGTTCTGGACCTCCATGTACTTTATAGTCGCTCTTAAAATTAAACTCGATTTAAATCGATTAAAAAATAATCTTCAATTAGCTTAAAAATGTAGGTATACCATTTTCTAGTTATAAATCTTATAGATAGAATACCATTGGTCTAAGCGTTTTAAAAACAACTGGGCAATCTTGTTAATATTTCTTACTGCGACTTCTTTGTTATTCCATATTTCAATCTCTACAGTTTTTACACTTAATTTAATCATAAAATTGTTGCAGTGTCTCGCCGCCGGTTCCTCTATAATGAACCGAGAAGCGGAGAGCACCGCCATGCGTCCCCTTGCCAAGGCCGTCACCAAGAGCCTGGAGAATGTACGGAATCTCCTGCGGGCCGCCTGCCTTCGAAATAACACCCCCAACGGCCCCATCAAGCTCGACTCCAACGAACTAGTCACAGAGATGCTGCTCGAGAGCCTCAAGATTTTCGATAAACTTTTCGCGGAATTCGAACTGGCCTACGTGAGTGCTATGGTGCCTGTGAAATCCACCCAGGAGTACGAGCTCCAGGAGCTCATCGGCGTACTCTTCTCAGAGACCCTCCAACGGGCCCTGAAGATGAGGCTGCTGACTCAGGAGATGGTCGACGATTGTGATCCCGCGCTGATGTTCACCATCCCCCGATTGGCGATAGTTAGCGGCCTTCTCATCTTCCCGAACGGGCCCCTGTGCATCGACAAATCCGTGGAGGAGATGAGCGAGATGTTCCGACCGTTTAGGACTTTGCTTCATAAGATACGCGAGTTGTTGTGGACCTTAAACAAGAGGGAATTGTACATGCTAGAGAAATTGCTGTGTGATAACGAACAGATTAGTGACGTGAAGGCGGTGAGTGACGTAGACGTGCAGAGTGACTTGGACTACTTCATAGGACAGTTTTATAACGACTATCCCCTCTGTAATGATTACATTTCTACTTTTGGTAAAGACGAAAGACCTCCTAAGGAGGAAATAAGTGTTCATCAGGGAACTATACAACGAAGCCCTACCACTGTAACAGTGGATGTACCCTCCACATCGGGCTATTTAATCGCAAACAGCGTGGCGCACAGTTGCGTACCCAATCTTTTGGCTAACGCTGTAAGAGGGGACTCGCCTCCAGATCACGACTCCCTGGAGGTGATATCCGAAGCAGCGGCAACACTGTCTTCGATCCTCACCACCGAGGAGGTGGTCGCTTCCAAAACGTCCAAAGTCAAGTTGAACGCCGAGGACTTAGAATCGCCCAACGATTCGGGGATATGCACTGAAACCACCAGCTTAGACAGATCACCAAGCCTAGACCTGAACGAGACGAAGAACTGCCAATGCGCTGGGAACTCCTCTTCGGCGATGTGCAGGTGTTACTCCAAGATACCCGCAGATACTGCTGGTGGCAGGAAAGCCCTACACGCTCAAACGGATCTTTCCCCTGTGGGAAGCAGATTAATCCCCAGGTCGGCCTTTCCCGTGAGGAAGAAAAAAGTGATAAAAAGGACGACAGACAGCATTGCAGACGAGGATTCCTCGAGCACTGGCAGTTCGGAGACCTCTTCGTTTAACAGCAATTGTGCCGATGACGAGGAGATAGCGTTGGCGCTGCAAGCCGCCGAATTCGCAAGTAGGAATGAAGTTCGGGCTAAGTACAGGTAAGCAAAGCCAATTTATTTTAACTCTTTACCATCCATTTTTTCCTTCTCTCTCCAACTCTGCTGGTGAGGATGCCTTACTTAAGGAGGTTTATCGGATAGATTTAGATTTGACAACGTTGCACTTGGCTGGCGCGCTCAGCTCGGCGTTCGTTCGCTCGCGTTCGATCATTCTGTTATTTCTGTTTGGATGACTAAGCTAGAAATATGCATCATATGTCACATCTGCGAATTTCAAATAATACGCTACGTCGAGACCGCGGCGTTGCCGACCGAGAATTATTATAAATTATGTATCTTACAAGTACCTAATCGATTTCAACGAGCTGTCATACGGTTCCTTAGATATCGGTTTCCTATTTATACAAGTTGCTGTTCGTCAGTTATTGCGCATTGTAAGTGGAAAGACCAAAAAAATCTACATTCTCATAAGACTTCGTACTAAATCGTGAAAAATTATTTTATTAATATCTCGTCTCTTAGGTATCCAACTAGTCATTTTTTTTTTTTGAGGATTTTCTTCATATTAATAAGTTTATATTAATTTTTTATGAATATTTGTTTGCCAATTCCATATCAGATAAACCTCCTTAAGATGAACCGGGAATTTTGAAATTTAAATATATTGATAAAAGCATATTTAAATTAACAGACATCAATAAAATTATTCTATACTGAAAAGTTTTATGTGTTAACAAAATTGCTAGTTTACAGTTTAAATGGGACATTCTATACAAATTCAACGAAATTTGATTTGTTGTTTCAACTGTTCAAACAATTCTAATTGATATGTGCACTTGTTATGACGTAATTACGTTATCGTCTCATTTCCATAGAATTTTATCAGTTATTTGAATAAATAAATCAAATAATGTTGACGGTCACAAATGTTAGGAAAAGTATAATTGATATTTTTAATTCCTTATTGTCCCTGTTTTAATCCAAGCACGTAGGTATACATTATCAGTTGATCTCCAGATAGTTTAAAATCATTTACAGCTGCTTTGAAAAAAAAAAATACATTTTCATGTCGCGCCTACAACTCTATAAAGTAAGGGTATCTTTATTCAGCAGCGGAGGTAGATAAAAAATTAGTCTGGAGAAGAAGACAAGGTGCACGTCTAGTAGGCAGATGGTACAGATTGCTCCGTTTTCTCGCATCTGTCCCTATTGTGCGGCGATCAACCGTTCCGTACATCGATCTTCTAGTACTAGATACGGCATAGGCTATCTAACAGCATTGAGTTTGTTTTGATACGCAAAGTCGTGGACATGGAGCTCTGCGGGATGGGGCGGGGAACAAATATTTGACGTTAGTCCTATACACCAGTGGCGTAGTACATTAGATTGGTTCATTAGGAATTTTAATTACAATTTAGTATTAAATGCAAGAAGTCTTATCTTCGGAAATAATTGAGTCAAACTTAATTTTAAAGCAGTACATCTTGACATAATAAAGGCTGTGGTTAGCAAAATATATATTTTTTTGCAAATGATATGGGGTTATAGGAACTGTAGCAAAATCAGTTTTTGTAAAAATTGTAATTTTTTCATTTGACTTATACAATATTATAGTGTACAATTCTTGTTATGGGGGAAAATTACAGAATGACTAAATCTTCATTTGACTATTTTAGTATAATTATTTACTGATGACTAATTTATCAACATCTAAGTTTACATAGTATACTCGTATATTATGTTAAAATATGTACTGTATCTCACCCTACTTTTATTAATATGTTTTTCAAAAAGCATTTTTTGTAGCAGACGGTTTCTGAGACTGATGTGAGTAACTTATTAGTTTTGAAATTTGATGGTAATGTAAAGTTAAAGTTTACAGTGCTCTTCCAACATCTCGCTTTTAAGCAAATAAGTGTCAAATAACATATACCTATTAAGATAAAACTTTTATTAATTGTTAAGAACTACTATTAATATAAAGTAATGAATAAATAACACAATAAAGGATATAAACTACATATGTAAGTTATTGTACTTATATTATAAAAGTATTAACAAAATAAAATAAATATATTAGTACCTACATTTAGTATTGAATAATTCTAATTGCAATTAATACTGTGACACTATCAATAAAAAAAATTGTTTATTGATTTTTAAATAAAATTGTTTTAGTCAGTAAGCATTCTGACTCTGTTTTGTACATTATCTTTTAACTTAAATGTGATGCACTCTAAATCTTGAAATAATTTTTTTAAATTAGTTTTACTAATTGTAATGGGTGCTCATTAAACGGATCATGTAATATCGTAAATAAATTATATTAATGTTCAATAGTATTTCAAAGGTGTGTTACACCTAAAAGAATCTACGCCCATGTATGCTTTCAAACTTAATGTATGAAACGATATGGCCGATCCTCTTCTAAATTTGCTACAAATAAAGCAGGACTTTCCGGACGGATATGATAATATGGTATTAATAACTGTCACAAAATTACTTCACACACTCAAAACATTTATAATACACAACAAAATTTGTAAGTAAAACTCTAGACGAACAGATAAGTCATTAATTAGAATATATTTTCTACGATGTAAACAAATAATGTCGAGCATGCCCGAATAAGCAGCCAATCAGAAGTAAAGGACCTTAAGATACCCCCCTTGAACAAAACAAATTGGGCCTATGCAGTATCTAGTACTAGAAGATCGATGGTTCCGTATCCCACTGTAGTTTTAATTCGGGACCCTCTTTTCCTTCAAAACGTGTATATGATTGGCTCAATGTGGAAATAGTATAAATTTTATTAATGTTCTTGCTTCTTTCACTGGATAAAATGCGACAGAAACTCAACGATATAAACGTCTACAAATATCCGAAGGTACAAATATTTTTTTGTCTGCCTACATTGTTCAAGGCGACGGCAAAAATGTCCTCCTATTTTAGAGAATCGGAAATATATTTTTGTATTCAATACATTTTGGAATGTTTCATAACTACAACAGAAACTGCAAAGAAGGTATATGAAATATGAAGCGTTTTAACAAGTTCGCATCATAGTTGGCCGCGCTTAACCCCACCACTTGTTGAAAGGCCGCGGAGAAAGTTCAACTTGCATATACTGTTTCAAATAGGATGTTAGTACATTTAATTCGTTTCTATTGTTGTCCGTAATTGGCTTGTCTAGGGCTAATTAATTAATTGACGCTCATGAGGTAATCCGTGAAGTGGTTTGTAACAATGAAAGAGATTAAGAGATAAAACAGTTAAGTCGGTTATTTGGGAATTTTACGTCCTTTCTCGCGGTTGTCGCTAATTGAGCGCTGAAACGACTAGGATTTTCGATGCCAAGTCTATTGGGTTGAGGTCGGGTGCGTGAAAACCCGTATTATCATGCGTTTTGAGATAAAGCAATAGAAAATTGGATTTTGGTATAATTTTTTATCGCGTTTTGTTATCAATACCGTATCTAAGTGTTTTGGATAAATTTTAGCAATGAACGGAAATTTAAAAAATAAGAATTTACTGAAAATAGTGGGAATCTAATAAAATTCTGACTACTATAGGATTGCAATTAACGAGACTACACCAAAGGGAAAATTCTTAGGCGTAAATTATACGGTTCTTAAAAATAGTGAGAATAACTGGTATAAATAAAAATAATTCTGAATAGATCCTTAGTTGGATACCACAATTTATGTTGATAAAAATGTTTATTTTTCGTGTGGTTGCATTAATTACTTTTATGAAATAACAGTGATGACCTATTTTGAGAAAAAATTCCACTGAAACAGCTTTGAATATCCTACGGCTCGCAAACCGCAAAACATTTGTTTTCTTCAGAAAAATATCCGTTATCACGGCCAACCGAATATTTTTCTACAGTTTCACAGTTGCTTAATTTCAAATTCATTTAGTGCAGATCAAATGGAAATGGGATTTTAGTTTCATCGAAAACTAATCGCTTTCGGGGCAACGGGTAGTGGCTTGTCTGGAAAACCTCTGGCAGTTTTCGAACTGGGAAACTCATTTCCTCGGCCCGCCAACTCAGAGTTTGTCTTTTGTCACTTTTCCGTCAACAATAAACTAGGGCTCGAAATGTATTTGTGTTACGGCCTACGCTTTTCCCGCGACAAAAAACGTACTTACTTCATATCCTCGGACTATAATTTCGTTAAGTACGCATATTACACTTTAGAGAAGCTTTGCTTGTTAATGGACACAGCTATTTGTACCGTAAACATTTCGTTTGTTTTGATCATTAATTTATTATTTAACCTAACTTTTAACTATTGATCTGCCGTTCGTATTTAGACTATATTGTAGTTGAAATGTAACCGACTACTTAATTACTACCAAGTATTTCATTAATGCCATTCATTTACTTTTGCAGCAACTGCTTTATTTCAAAAACTTGTTACATAAAAATTATCACTGATTCACTTGGACTGAAGTAATGATTACTCTCGACAAAATCAGGCAATTTGCGCCACTTCCAGCAGTAATTTCGCTGTGTTAATAAGATAATCTGTATAACATTAAATAAAAGCGCACGATACTCGGTACTCTTACACGCCCTATACGTTTTTCATATCGTCATTCGTGACTCTGTGGGAGGAGGGGTGTGAACCTTCTTGAACTCTGTGGCGCGGCTTTTATTTTCAGAGCTTCGGTCGGGCTTCCGTATACGAAATTCAGATATCGCAGAATTCAGGGTCGACGGACGACGCGTCCGAGTTGGAATGCCGCCCGGTCTGCCGAGATGGTAGTTTAATAAGGTTAATTGAGAAAAATATAGCAGTAACCAAAAAAAAACACTAAAATACTAGGTACGTAATTTCTATTTGATGCAAATTCATTTATATTGTAATCCTTCTGTTAAAATTGAAAACATTCAAAGAAATTTATGTATATTGTAATCGACAGTTGCGTTAGTCTCACTTGAATTTATTTCCGAAGGGTATAAAATTGCAAAAATAAATTAAAACCGATTTTTTATTGATATAAGTGGGAGTATTGGGAGTTGATTGTTTGTATAACCTCTGTTTAATCGATTGGTATTATCTAAAACCTGGCAACATTGTTATTTCTGATTAAAACAATATTTGTATTGTAAGAGTACATTCCGCTAAAGCATAAATATAAAAAAATATGATGTGAAGAAATTTCTGAGAAATATACATTATAATAATGGTCAAAATCTGAATTAAGTAAACCATATTAATTTAGCTATTTTTGCAGAAATGTATAATTTCATTTAGTATTATTATTAAACAATTTTATTTTTTGCGTATAAGCGATTGTTGATAATTGCTCTTGGAAACGGAAGAATAAATAAAAGTTACTGTTTTAAAAGTTTTAAATCCTACATTTTTCCGAGTTTTTTTCACTTTTATTTTTGTTTAATTCAAGTTTAACATAGTGCTTCCCACTTGTAGCATAGAATACTTCTTACTGTAATAACATCTCTCGAAAGTTCGATGACATGTTTTTAGTATACAGGGTGTCCCGAAATTCATGCAACAAAATTTGGTCATAGATCCTTAAGACAAATTTAGGGGACCCGTATTTTTTCTTTTTGCCAACTGGCCCCCTCTTTCGGAGTTACAGCCCCCTGAAATTTGCCTCTAAGAAGTCTTTTTTATATCTCAAAACCATATTGTATGAGAATCACTAAATTTGGTACACAGGGGATTTATGATATGAGGAATCTCACAATGCTACGCTTTTTGGCGAGAAACCCCCTTAAGACACTTTTTCGTGGGCCCCCTTGTTTCTGGAACCAGAAAAATTTGGTCGCATATTTGATTTTTTTTTTAATTATTAGCTAGAAAGCCATTGAATTTAGAAACTTTTTTGTATCTTGATATTTGTTTCGTAAAACGCAATGTTTTTGAGTAAAATGGCGAATCACGATATGCATTTTGATCACATCTTGACATTCTTCTCGAAAACATTGCTTTTTACGAAAAAAGTATAAAGAGACAAAAAGTTTCTAAATTTAATGGCTTTCTAGTGGACTGATAATTTTTAAGAAATTTAAATATGCGACCAAATTTTTTTGGCTCCAAAGACAAGGGGGCCCACGAAAAATTGTCTTAAGGGGGTTCCCCGCCAAAAAACGTATCACCATCAGATTCCACATGTCATAAAACCCCTGTGTATCAAATTCAGTGATTCTCGTACAACAGGGTTCTGAGATATAAAATATAAATATAATATATAAAAAAAAGATTATTCTTAGGGGCGGACTTCAGGGGGCTGTATGTAAAGAGGAGGGCCACTTGGCAAAAATAAAAAATACGGGTCTCTTAAATTTGTCTTAAGAATCTGTGACCAAATTTTGTTGCATGAATTTCGGAACACCCTGTATATTTAGGCCTACATCTATATTTTTCTTATTAACTTGGTATTGTGTCATTCACATATTAATTAATTCTGGTAGTTGAGGTTATGTAATCATCTTCTCGTCGACTTGTTAGAATTTTGATTGTTAGATAATACATATGTTTGTAAATTGTAAGATGTATGAATACATCATCCTTTTCCACTGGGACCAACTATGAACCTCTACAATCTTGGAATTCCTTAAACCTTACCTCCTTATTTTGGATTCACAGTTTCGACAGCAGCTCCACATGCCTACCAGTTCTCTTCCGAACAGTAGATAGCGTACCCTTTCTAGATCTCTCCAGACATGCGTTCTTTGTTTTCTCTTAACAGATTCTACATAGGTTGTCTCCAATTTAATATCAGTAGTTACACCATTATTTATATTGATATACTACTTTGATTCAATAGTCAACTCTATCGGAAGTCGTTTTAAGACCTTCTTGGCTTGTTTCTGTCCAGGGATTTCTTATCACTGCTTTTGGACTATATTTTCCACCCATTCCTGCATAAGTATCTTAATAAAATAGCTAGCCATGCACCCTATAAGGGCTGTAGATAAGCCTGCTCTGGCTAACTCTTCAGCCTCGATGTCCCTCATGCCTTGGTACCCATACTAAAATCATATCGTTTTGACTTCCTTGCCATACCAATGCACCCAAACGGCTCTATACCAGCCTGAATTTGATCTGGTATGACTGATTGACTAACTGCTGGAGTAAATAATAACAATCAAGACAATATTGTTGCTTTAACAAAGCATTTGGTATTCTCTACTGCAGAAAAAAATTGTTATTGAAATTCTGATTGTATTATTAGTGTCTGATTTTTTAATAAACCAAATCATTGTTCCAGGTCAAGTGAGGATCTCATCCATCGCCTCTTTGTCTGCATCGCTGGAGTGGCCGACCAACTTCAAACCAATTTTGCATGCGATCTGCGCAACATCCTCAAGTCCGTTTTCCTCATAAATGCCTCCGATGCCACTGAACCTGCCAAAAGTCTGGAAAACAGCACATTAGAAGCTTCCATCGAGTACCATCCCTCTGAACATGACGTCATAGAGAACGAGTTCTCTGTGGACCCCAACATTCTAGCTCAAGAAGCCTTATTTGACACCAATGTGTACTTCCACTTGGATAACGAGGACTGTCCCGTTTCTGATTATTCCAACCATCCAAGGCAGATCCAAGCAGACGAACGCAGTCTGCATTCGCTATCTTCGGACCTTACCAGGTAATTGTCATCACCATTAAACATTTCCCCTTTTGACAACACTAACATTTATAGATATGCGTCTTTAAGGGAAGACTTCGTCAACCTTCATCCTGCAGTTGCTCAAGAGCCCGAAATCAACCACTATGAAGCCCAGGAGAGGCCGCCTGTTTGGATTCCGGATGTGGAGGCTCCAAAATGCATGAGCTGTGGTGCTAATTTCACAGTGGTCAAGAGACGGCATCACTGCAGGAACTGTGGGAAAGTATTCTGCGCTAGGTGTTCATCCAACAGTGTACCTCTGCCCAAATTTGGGCACGTCAAACCCGTCAGGGTTTGTAATAAATGTTTCATATACAATTTAACACCATTTACCATGTGATTACTTTTATGGTTGTTCCACTTTGTACTTAAAAGCATGATGAAAGAGAGTGAATTGTATGTCATACGTTTCACTTTAAAATGGAAGTCCTAATCCTGGCATGTTTTTAATCTGTGATTATTTCGTATATTATGTTGCTCAAAGCTTGTAAAAAAAGAAATCTCGACCCCGTTTCTGGTGAGCTAGGCGGCCATTCCAATGTCTGATATTGACAAATTTATAATACATTTAATAATTGGTTTGTATAAAATAATGAAATGTCAAATGAGGTCAGCCATAAGGTTTTTCTGATATTCAGAGATATTTATTCTTAATGATTATGATGCCTACAGGACATAGTTATTACATTATATCGACTATTTATGACTGGGACATAGAAAATAACGCAATAGACTATTACAATTTATATGAATAAATCTTTTAAAAATGATCCAGAGGAATCAGATCTGGTAATTTGACAGGCCACTTTGACTGACTCTTTCCTGAGTTCTATCGCATAGTATCTGAAATTTACATCTGTAGGCCTTCTAGATTTGACCAAGGAAGCTGCTGGCTGTGTTGACTACTAGCGACTATTAAGCATAATTAACAATGTCCAAGTTAGTAAATTTTCTATAGACAAGACATCATTAGTAGAACATTAAAATAAAAATGACTTAACTTACTAACTACATATTTACTTGAGTGACTCTTTGCCATGCTGATTTTTATTTAGCTGGCAGGCTTCTGCTGCTAACAGAGAGGAAGAGAGAGAAAGAGTACTTCATATTTTTATTATTAGTAAATTATATTAGATGAATAAAATTTTATAAAACTTGATGTAGTATATGTGGATTCTTGGTAAAATATTTTGAAGAAGAAATATGTTACATCAACATTTCCTATTTACTATTAAGATTTTCGAGTTTTGCCTTAATATACCATAGTTTTAGGAAAATACGAAATATTTTGTAATGTACACTGCGCCTTTAGCTTTTGCCAGATTTATTACGAGAGAATGTCTATGAGGTTCACATATGGAACATTAGCGGTTCATTCTATCGAATAGAGATTGGTAAGACAATTTAATGATGATGAGTGAGAAGTTTTGCATACAGTACAGGATATTTTGAAATGTTTATAGATTTAACTAAATAATATACTGAGATTAATATTACTAGACTTTTTTTGATAGCACTGTAGCCAAATTTTGTTTGTGAAGTATTGATTTTTTAACTGTAACGAGAGTATTACTTCGAGGTTTATATTACAATTCAAACTAAGTAAGTACAAAAATAAAAACTACTAAAAGTAACTGCTCTCAATAGTTTTTAATTTGTTGTACTGAAGTATTTTGTGATAAACTTGTATATTTTATTTATATGGTTTATGGGATTAATAAGGTCTCCAATAAAAATTATTTTTCAACATACCGTGTTTCCTTTATTCTATCAGCAAAATGAGATTAAATGAATTTATATTTTATAATTTCCTGTTTTACACATTTTACTTAAAACTGAATTAAAAATCATTTATAACTGGATCCTTTACCTTTAACAAAATAATATTAAAAAGTTAAGAAAATAATTTTTGCAATCAATTTTTTTTAGTTATATCCGGCCTGAAGGACCAAAAATTATAATTAATTAAGGGGTATCCCAGAAATGAACATCAAAATTTTAACCAAGTAATTAATCCATTGAAAGCAGCATTTGGTGTTTCATACCCATTCAACTAACAGTAACGAGTTACTTATAAATTAAAGAAATACCAGAGTATGTATGTGAATGTTCCACTCAACTAAGGTGTTTGACTTATGTTTCAGTGGTCGACATCAATTTAAAATTTTAAAAACCATCTCAAACTAAGAAATTCTCGGAACAAATTATTTGACAAAAGTTGTGATAAGTTAAATGCATGGTTAAAATTTTGGTACTTACTTCTGGGACAACCTGCATAAAGAGTGCACTTCATTCTCACTAGCGTTTCCGTAGAAACTGAAGGACATTATTTTAAATCACCACTAGTCATAGGCAGAGGGTATAGTCCAAGCATTCTAAATTTGCAGAAATTATTACCTGGACAAAAAAAATATGACCGTATAGAAAATTAAATTTTAAATTGAGTTTCTTGTTCTTTAAACTCGATCCAATATGGCGAACATGGTTAAAAAAAATCGCAAAGTTGTAAAAACGGTTTTTCTAAAATAACTAAAAAAATATAGCACGGATTGAAAAATTTTAAATGAGAAAGTTGTAGGTTATAAAAAGATCTATCGACTGATTTTTTGAAAGTATCGATTGCTTTGTTACTTTTTCTTCTATAACTCGTTTACATTTACGTGCCCATATTTGCTATTTACTGCAAGCATAGCCCGCGGCAAGCCAAAAAAGTACATTTTTGAAAAATTTAAAAATATTAATTATTTTTCGATATATCGATTTTTTTAAAAAAAGACGCTCTCGAAATTGCCTAGATCTTCTCAGCGGATAGCCCTACAGTAACGATTTTCGGTTTATTTTCTTCGAAAAGAGTTATATTATCATGCTGTTAAAAAATTTTGACGATTTTATTAATTTTAAGGATCAAAAAATGACTGAATAAGTTGCACTTTTTTTGGGTATGTTTTTTTCAAATTACTATTTCAAATTTTATTTTATGAAAATGACTATTAAAGAAAGAAAACTAAACATTTACGGGTCTATTTTGGTTCTAAGGCGAAAATGCTATAATATTCGTATTTAGCTACCTCAGATTAAGTACAAAAAAATAATAAAAATTGAAATAGTTATTTGAAAAAAACATACCCAAAAAAAGTGCAACTTTTTCAGCCATTTTTGATCCTTAAAATTAATAAAATCGTCAACATTTTTTAACAGCATGATAACATAACTCTTTACGAAGAAAATAAACTGAAAATCGTTACTGTAGGGCTATCCGCTGAGAAGATCTAGCCAATTTACGAGAGCGCCTTTTTTTCAAAAAATCGATATATCGAAAAATAATTAATATTTTTAAATTTTTCAAAAATGTACTTTTTTGGCTTGCCGCGGGCTATGCTTGCAGTAAATAGCAAATATGGGCACGTAAATGTAAACGAGTTATAGAAGAAAAGAGAATATTTTTAACGGTTTTTTCGATATATCTCGAAAAGTAACAAAGCAATCGATACTTTCAAAAAATCAGTCGATAGATCTTTTTAAAACCTACAACTTTCTCATTTAAAATTTTTCAATCCGTGCTATATTTTTTTAGTTATTTCAGAAAAACCGTTTTTGCGATTTTTTTAACCATGTTCGCCATATTGGATCGAGTTTAAAACCAAGAAACTCAATTTAAAATTTAATTTTCTATACGGTCATATTTTTTTTGTCCAGGTAATAATTTCTGTAAGCATTTCTCTATAATGCTTGGACTAGTAGTAAGAGGTCCGTTTTGGCATAAAAACTTGCTTTATAAACATTTGTCTCAAGAAGACGTGCATCTATATAAAAAAGTATTACATTGTTTTGAGAACAAGCCTGTTTACGAGCCATGTTTCTCTTTTTTCTTTTGTGGAGACGGATCCTCGGCATTTTGTAGTAAAACTGAGCTCTTGAACCACGAAACGGTGTGGTGAGAAGTGGGACATTGACAGTATGCGCAGAAGTATATGTATGTATATCTATCTTCCTAAATATATTATTAAAACAAATAGTCTTTATCTCCGTATTTACCATATACTGATATTATTTGTAAACTTTTTCCAAAAACAACACACATGTCTTTGCCTAAGGAAAAAGCTGAATCTTTCCGCGGCATTCAACTCTCAAACATTTTTAGATGGACTATAAGAAAAAAATATACCGGGTGGTTCAGTTTGATATTCGCGGCCACGTATTTCTTTTATTTTAACAAACAGCTATAACAAACCCTATATATTTTTAAATTGCCGTTCAAACTCTATCAAACGATATGTTAGATTGTCTCCATGGTAACATAATTGTCAAATTGTTATAGTCAACTGTTTTTGTTCAAATGACACACTATATATTTTTTTATCAATTTTGGAAAATATTTTTTGTCTGCGTTCAGCTATATAAGGAAGTCTATAGTTTCATTAGAAATATTACTAGAAAGACTTAAAAAAATATGAAACCTACTAGAGGCAAGTTCGGTATTAACATCTAGACATTTTGTGATCTAGACGCTCCAGATGTGTTTTGTTCTTTTCTAATTGTAAGAAATGAAAAGACAAAGAGATATGTCTAGAGCAGGGGCCGGCAAACCGCGGCTCGCGAACCGCATGCGGCTCTTTCAAGAGAGAATTGCGGCTCTTTTCCTCTAAAAATTAAAAGTTAAAGCGGACAGACAAGCAGCAAACGATACACATAAAGACGCGTATAAACTTCCGTATCCGATTTAAATTTGAAATAAAATGTAAAAGCAGAAATAAAAATTCGTGGCTCTTTGAAATTCATGAAATTGATATTTTTATTGCAGATGGCTCTTCCGGCTTAAAAGTTTGCCGACCCCTGGTCTAGAGCATCTAAACGTCAATACCGAACTTGCCTTAGCTTTATTCTGAAAAATGATAGCCAGCTGCGGAAACAACTGAATTTTGTCGTTTCTAAATAACGATTCGTCAAAATAATTGACACCCTGTACCTACCTATTCTATCTATAACATCTATAACTAATTATAACATGAATACTTACAATAAAAAACTTAATCACCCGCTACATATTACTTTTTAGAAAATCTCAGTTTTTACAAAAAAAAACTGATTAAATTAGGTAACAGAGTTAAAATTCTTCCAAATAGAAGACTTCTCTTCATTCACACACTGTATGGAATTTCAGGCAAATCTATACAGGGTGTCCTAGAAATAAGTGCCAAAGTTTTAAGCATCTACGCGTTGAATATATACGGCGATAATTTGCTGATATATTTAAATATACAATATTAAACCTTTATTAAATAACAATATTTAAGAGACCTACGTAAAATTTTTATACATAAGGTAAGGTAAGGTCTCCTGTATTTGTTTCTCTTACTGCAGATTTTTTTTTATCTGCGCATTTTGCGGACAAGTTGAGTTTGGTCAAGCTGTGAGTGATATACACGAATGTTTTAATGCAGTGATTCACTATCTTGAAAGTTTTTACTAGACCTAATAGGTATTAAGTGTAATAAGCACGACGAAGTATTAACAATTGTGATTGTGCATGATGCCGGATTTTTCCAAATAGTGGACATGTTGACATGCTGTTAGTTTGTGATGAAGCACATGGGAACATTTCGAAACCTCGTTGAATTTATACAGATTATTTTCTGAATTATCTCAGACCACCCATATAGCATTTAATATACAATAAATATACGCACATTTGTTCATATTGTTCGGGAACGCAGATTTTTTAAGGATGAACTTTATGTAACCAACGGTAGACTGGCTTTACAGCATAATGTTCCAAACGGGTCAGTTTTGAAGATAAAAAAATAAAGAGCAGTGATATCAGCTTTTTTCTGAATATTGCGACAATTTTAAGTAGTGTACCTGGATGATGTCGAAATACGTGCTACCTACAGGATGGTGCGAATTATTCGAGGTCTTCGAGAAATCAACACTTTCCTGGTCGGTGGATTGGTTGAAGTTTTCCACGTGCTCGGTCCGCCCGATCACCGAATTTGATTCCATGCGACTTTTATTTATGGGATCGTTTGAAACAGTATATTCTATTCTAGTTACTACAGTTGTTGAGGAACTACGAGAACGAATACAGAATGCCTCCAGAACAATGAAAGCAGAATTCACACATATTTTAATAAAATGTGTGTAAAAACTTACGGAAATAAAGCTTATTACTTTTTGGTAAGTGAAAAAATGTTCAGTTTTTACTTTTGATCATTTTTACTTAAATATTTTATTATTTTTCAATAGCAACCGAATTAATTATTAATTATATACCTACTTAACTAAAAAGATAATTAATATTAATTAATTAAGTACATATATTTTTGTTTATTAATCAGGTTGCTCGTTGATTTATGAAAACACATTATTTTAAAAATCAAGTGGTTTTCTAGAAAAAATATTGGACAAAAGTTATTGCTTTTCATGAGTTAAGTATTGTGGTTAACATTTTAACACTTATTTATAGGATTCCTGAGAAATAAAAAAAAAATTCTTTATTATCTCTTGCATATTTTATCCTATTTAAAAGTGTTTTGTTTTATGAGATGAGATGTAAAAAAATGTAATGCCTTTAAAACAAAGTAATTATTAAAAAATATCAAAACCTTAACATTCTGCCACGACTTCAAAACTAAGTATGACTTATTTTTCACATAAAAAATCCATGCATACCTGTAATTTCAGTGGTGTAGTGTGATTTACTGACTTTACTGTATACTATGATTACTATTGGTGCAATTTTCGCATCTTTACTTTCAAGAAGTTCAAACTAGATCAAATTTTATTTTGTTCTCATCCAGAGAAAAGAAAGGCTATGGTCACGTAAGAAAATAATAAACAGTGTAACTAAATACTCATATAACCGAGATCGATAAATACATTAAATCTATTCTTATAAATTAATTAATAAATTTAAACAACTTTACATACAGAAATAAAATTGAAGGTTAACTTGTAAAACAACTGAATAACACGCAAGAGAGTCCAATTAATAGTTTTATAAATTCATGAACCTGACAGTAGCACCTAACTACCTACTTCAATAGCGAAAAACTTAAATGTATAGGCAAATATTTTTGTGATCTATGCACATTTTATTTCTAATTATTACTAAAACCTGAAAAACGGAAGATCCTGTATATCTCAGCTACATGTGTTTGATCAATACGCTATTAGTGATAAAGCTGTAGTAGTAGAAATCACAAGGAAACCTTTACAGCACTTGGTGCAATACTTTCGCAGGTGCCATGGAAATAAAAATAAAACATTCAATAATTGCGGACGTACAAAATTTGACAAGGAACATAAAAGAAGCTCCTGTCACCGTAACGCACTATACGTACTCTTTTTCTGTTTGTTTTACTAAATTACCACGATGGAAGACGAAAGTGATTTTATCGAAGGAAATGAAGAAGAATCAGAAGCAGAAGAAGGTCTAGATCCCGGAAATCCAGAAGATTATTTTGCCATAATCGAGTCAGAATTTAATAAGGTAAAAATACAACACTGCAAGTTATACATTAGAAATTAATATTAGCACATTATTAAATTCGTTGAAGATAATGTCCAGGTATCCACAATAAGGGAAACGGACTAATAAAAAATAATATAATCTACATTATAATAGCAGTTTTTCTTATTAGTCTTAAAATATAACGACAAGCTTAAAAAACTTGTCTGAGCATTACATACATATTATGTGAAGAATAAAAATGTTATGTAAAAGATTAAAAGATTAATATATGCATATGAAGGTGTGCCTATGTGTAGTCACAGACAGTGACCTATAAATTTCGTTTTATATTTAGAAAGTTAAAAGCAATGAGCGAGGGATGGTGAGACTGTCCAATTATAGATTCCTTGTTTTTTATTTGTAACTTTTTAGACATGAAGGAAAAGTTTAAAAACAAAGTTAATAATAATTGAATCTAGTTCAGCGCACATACTTATTAGACCGATCAAAATAACTCATTTATAGGAGAAAAAAAAATTGTTACCTGGACTTTTATAAGTGGAAATGGTAAAGGGGCTTATAATAAACGTAAAAAAAATAAATGCGTGAGCAGGGGCGGCGGAGGGTTGATTTGGGGGGTTGAAAAGGGGTGAAAAATGGTATCATTGAGATTTCTGGCGAAAGTTGATGTCAAACAAAAAAGTATCCAATACAAAAGTTATAGATCATGAAAAAATCTACAACTCTTGTAGAGGGCACTTTTGAAGATAACCTCAAAATTTCCGAGAAAAATGCGAAAAACAGGTTTTTTTCTTTTTTTTCGTTTTTTATTTCTCATTTCCGCAAAAATAATTTAATTTTGACGAAACTTGGTGAAAGTATACTTTCCTGTGTCTTAAATAACCACAATTTTTTTTAGATAAAAAAATCAAGAAGTTTCCGAGATATTCATATTTTCCGGTCTGAAACACTTTTTTTTCAAAGAAAAATTCTACTTAAAAAAATCATCGTACAGAGTTCTGCCGGTAATCATTTTTTTCGTTTTGACATATACTTTTTGGTGAAATAAAAAAAATTGGAATCGCAGTTCAAAAACATGCTCAAAAATGCAAAAAAGAAAAATGACTCTTGCAGAAATGAGTTTTTCAGTAATTATTGTTGATAGTTTGTTTAAATTTAAAGAAAATTCAAAAACTGATTACACCATTCGATTGTACGGAAAAAATACAAAAGAAACTGTGTCTCATTGTTTGACCCGAAATTTTATTTTTGTACAGTATTGCTATAAACATAATATTTTTTTTCGTAGGATCGATTAATGTACTTATTTTTTTTAACTTTGAATTGAATTCATAGATGTATAAGCGACTCTTTAATTAAATTATGTAAAATTCAGATTTTTGCTTTCAAAATTTAAAAAATATTTACAAAGGATATTTACAGTTAATAATACTAGGCGAATCTTGGTCTTTTTGGCAGCCTTTTAACTTGAACTTCATCGTCCGATCCTTCATTAGAACCCAGTCTTCCTGTTCTTCAAACGTTTCTTTGATATCACTTAATTCTTCGTTTAATTGATCTTCCGGGTTCAAGCAAAGACTGGGCTTCTCAATTTCATGTGAAATGTCTTCGGAATCACTGAAATTTTCCGAAATTTTGTCAACGTTCAAACAATTGTCCGAACCATGACATTTTGTACATAAATCTGTACATCGCACTCCATGTTTTCGACACCCGCATCTATTACCGTTGGTAAAACCTTTTTATGAGACTAATGCAGAATCAAAAGTCATTGTTCGAAATGGTTGTAAATTAATTTCGTCTATTTACAAATGCACAAATGATAAATTATCTCTGGATGATTTGAGATTTCAGCAATACAAAGTATTAACTGCAAAGTCTACTTTTAAATTAGAAAAATTACCACCAACTGTCGGAGCAGCTACACAACACTCCTATAGAGCATACTTTCAGCTTCAGACGTGGCTTGGAAACAAAATAACTGCAACCAAGTGGGGCTGGAAAGAAGTAATTGCGAATAATTCCAAAATACTCATGCCTCGCTTTACAGAAGTTTCAGTCGTTCCTGAAGATTTAATAAAAACAATCTCTTGCAGCTGCGAAACCAGTTGTGACGGTAATAGATGCGGGTGTCGAAAACATGGACTGCGATGTACAGATTTATGTACAAAATGTCATGGTTCGGACAATTGTTTGAACCTTGACAAAATTTCAGAAAATTTCAGTGATTCCGAAGACATTTCAAATGAAATCGAGCAGCCCAGTCTTTGCTTGAACCCGGAAGATCAATTAACCGAAGAATTAAGTGATATCGAAGAAACGTTTGAAGATCAGGAAGAAACCCAGTTTAATGAAGGATAGGACGATGAAGATCAATTTAAAAAGTTGCCAAAAAGATCAAGATTCGCCTAGTATTATTAACTGCAAATATCCTTTGTAAATATTTTTTAAATTTTGAAAGCAAAAATCTGAATATTACATAATTTAATTAAAGAGTCGCTTATACATCTATGAATTCAATTCAAAGTTAAAAAAAATAAGTACATTAATCGATCCTACGAAAAAAAAAAAAAATTATGTTCATAGCAATACTGTACAAAAATAAAATTTCGGGTCAAACAATGAGACACAGTTTCTTTTGTATTTTTTCCGTACAATCGAATGGTGTAATCAGTTTTTGAATTTTCTATAAATTTAAACAAACTATCAACAATAATTACTGAAAAATTCATTTCTTCAAGAGTCATTTTTCTTTTTTGCATTTTTGAGCATGTTTTTGAAGTGCGATTCCAATTTTTTTTATTTCACCAAAAAGTATATGTCAAAACAAAAAAAAAATAATTACCGGCAGAACTCTGTACGATGATTTTTTTAAGTAGAATTTTTCTTCGAAAAAAAAGTGTTTCGGACCGGAAAATATGAATATCTCGGAAACTTCTTGATTTTTTTATCTAAAAAAAATTGTGGTTATTTAAGACACAGGAAAGTATACTTTCACCAAGTTTCGTCAAAATTAAATTATTTTTGCGGAAATGAGAAATAAAAAACGAAAAAAAAGAAAAAAACCTGTTTTTCGCATTTTTCTCGGAAATTTTGAGGTTATCTTCAAAAGTGCCCTCTACAAGAGTTGTAGATTTTTTCATGATCTATAACTTTTGTATTGGATACTTTTTTGTTTGACATCAACTTTCGCCAGAAATCTCAATGATACCATTTTTCACCCCTCTTCAACCCCCCAAATCAACCCTCCGCCGCCCCTGCTCACGCATTTATTTTTTTTACGTTTATTATAAGCCCATTTACCATATCCACTTATAAAAGTCCAGGTAACAATTTTTTTTCTCTCTAAGTGTAATTTGGTTGGACTATATGGCAGAAAAATTCGTTATTAATGTCTAAAAAGTAACTCATTTGAAGTAAAAAAAGATATTTGCTGGTATTCTCATAAAATTCGTCATACTAGGAAGACAATTTAACACTCGTGATAAAGACTTGCTAGGGTAAAAATTGTACTAAAGCATACCGTAATAAGATTTGCCAAATAAAATGAAAGATAGCAAAAAAACTTTTTAACCACAAATATATTCCTTTAGCGTAACCTTTCCGGTAACAATTTTGTCCTTATATAGACCCTCATTCTCATTGAACAAAGCCCGGAATCTGCCCAATATGCTGGCGATTATACCAAACTCTTTGAAGCCTTCTATCAAGCATTCACTAAACAAAAAGAGTTGGAGGGGGTAACAACAGAACAAAAGGAAGACATAGAGAACAAAGGTAACAAGTTGGACCTGGCTATGAAACTAGCAGATGAAGACAAGAAGACCATTGACAATCTCAAGGAACAAATCCAACACGCTTGGCGACTTGCAGACGAGGCTCATGCCAGGGAACAGCTTGCACAAGAGATCATAGACAACCTCAGGAGGCAGGTAGAGAACCTTAACAAGGAGATCGAGTTCAACAGGAAGATGTTGAGCCAGGACACCGAGGAGTAAGTAGATTTTAAGTATTATTTTATCATTAAAAAAACTTTCGGCTTTAGGGAAGTGGAAATGAGCAAACATAAAGATGGATTAGAGAGAGAAAGAGACAGGCTCGTCAACGAGGTGAACCAACTGACCACAAAATTGGCAAATGCTCTTAGTTATCAGGAAGAGTTGGAAAGAAAGAACTCTGAAGCTGACCTGAAAATGAATGAAATTGCGGGGCAGCTAGAGGTAGAGTTAACAAAGTATTTGCAACTACGTGTAAGTACACCTGCTTCTACTTTTATAGGATTCAGGTGGCGAAATCAATAGACAAAAGAGAGCAATGGAAAAACTAGAGTCGGACATAGGGGATCTGAGAATGAAACTAGATGATAAAGATAAGAGCATCAACGACTTAAACACGCTTGTGGATACCATTACGAAACAAATGGAGTATTATGAACAAGAAGTGAGGGAGTACAGAAATGCATACGAGAAAAGTGCAAAAGATTTGGAACAGTTAACAGGGAAACATACGAAGCTTCAAGATGACTATAACAATGCCCTATTCGAGAGAGATAAAGTCAAAACTAATCTGAATGAAAAATCTATGGAATGTAAGGTATTAATAGCTCGAACTACAGCCTAATATATCTATAATAAAAAGTTGCGTTTGTTTGTAGAACCTTGGAGATCAATCGACAAAGATGAAATTAGAAAATTCTAAGCTGATGAAGGTACGAGTGATATTAGAGAAAAAGATTCGCGCTATTCAACACGAGGAAGACGAAATCGCTGCAGACCGCAATAATCTACGTGTGAGACTAATGACGATGGAAAGACAAATCGAGGAGATCAAGAAATTCTACGATGAAGACAAGAGGACGATTGAAACGTTAACAAAAGAAAAAGATGTCCTAAACAAAACAGTGCAAAGGCAACAGGGAATACAGAAGGACCTGAACAAACTGATCCAGATTCAAGAACAGAGCAGAAAAAAGCTCGAGGTGGAACTGGACACTTTCTTCTTGGAGAACAGCAAGCTGAAAAAGATCATGAGCCAGTTGGAAAGGGAACGAGATAGATTAGCTGAGGAACAGTTGGATCTCTCTAGAGTCATCGAGGAGCACGTCGAAGACGTTAGGAGTAAGAAAGTAAGACATCAAACCTTTTAATTATTCAACATTATTAGCCATTTTCTCGCATTTTTTTACTTTTCTATAAATTTTTTTCTTTATTTCGTAGGCTTATATTTTGGAACTAAAGAAAAATGTATCGGATCAAGAGGACAACGTGCGCCAGCAACATACTCTCTACGAAACAATGAGATCAGAACGAAACGCTTTGCAAAAAAATCTGCAAGAATCTAATGCCGAATGCGAAGAATTGAGAAAGAAACTCAAAATTGTCCTGCACCAGACAGAGCAACTGAAAGAAGACATTAGCGTAAAAGAGAAACTCCTGGTAAAGGACGAGAACATCATGAGGAAGATAAACAAAGAAAAAGAAAACTTAAAGTATAAATTGATACGTTTTTATCGATTACAGTAAAGATTAGATATTTTCAGGATAGAACTAATGTCGAGCTTGGACCAAATCAGGGTTTTGAAAGGAGATATAAAGGAACTCAAGGATGAAGAAAAGAGATTGCATAAAACTATTATGGTAAACCAACCGAGGAATTCAATTTAACGACAACAGATATACAAGTTTTCTTTGTTCGTAGCAAAACGAAAAAACGATAAGAGATCAGTCAAAGGACTTGGAACAACTTATGAACGAGAGGGATGTATTAGGTTCGCAATTGGTCAGAAGGAACGACGAAATAGCTCTGTTGAATGAAAAAATTCGTATTTTGCAAACCACTCTGGCTAGAGGTAAATCAAGATAATAAAATGGAAGGTATTGAAATTTTGACAGATTTAACTATTTTACAGGGGAAACTCAGTACGATCAGAGGTTGGATGACATAAAACTTCTGAAGCTTGAGGTGAAGAGGTTGAGACAGGAAAAAACTCTCATGTCCAAAAACATGTCCAATATGGTAGATCTGCGTCAAGAAATATTCCACTTGGAAAGGGACTTAACCAAGAGCAGACTGAAATGTAAGGCATTGGAGCAAGAAGCGCAACATCCTCTGAATATTCACAGATGGAGAAAATTGGAAGGATCAGACCCTGAGCTTATGGACCTACTGCAAAAACTTCAAATTCAACAAAAGTATATACAGGGTGGCCAAATGAAAACGAAACAGAGCCATTTTCAGGAACTGCGTCAAGATTGTAGAAAAACGCTCAGACCCGTCGATTTTAGATTAAAGGGGGACATAATTCTTTGCTGGTATTTTTGACTCCGCCACTTTCACCCCCAAGCAAGGGTAAGCATCATCTCAAAATATTTAAATGGCATTGGGGGTTGAGTAATATTTCTTTCGAAAGCTCTTACACTTCTCTTTACAACAGACTTTAAATTTTATAATTCCGCCCAATACTTTAAAAAAAATTTATATTTTAAAATTTAAATTATGTTTAGTTGCTTACTTACTACTTAGTTGATTAAATGTTCACATAGGCCAATCATTATAGTTTTTTTCCGGGAAAAAAATACTATTAGAAGTTTCTCTGCGGAATATTGTTCAGAAACGTGTTATAAACAAAATATCAAAAAATCAACTCGAGACTAGTTGGGAAACTTTGTTAAAACAATGATCAAAATTATGGAAAAGTAGTTTTTCGACTGGCATAAAAAAACTGTTATTCATAGAGAAAAAAATGTTTATACAAAAAAGGTAGATATTAAATAAATCTGTAAAATAAGACAAGTCCGATTTAATTCCGATAATTTGTTTATGCGCAAAAGCTCAAAAATGGTCGAAATTGTCCGCTTTTTTCAATTGCTAATATTTAATGCAATTTTCATCGCAGACACTTGTAATTCAGGATTTTTTAAGCTATTTGCACCCTTAATAAGTGGTAAAAATTTCAGCCCAAAAACTTCATTAGCTTGGCGTTGGCGGAATTTGTTATCTAAGAAGATGCTATTTTCAATTCATTTTTTCCAAGCTCACAGGCGTTGTAGGGTTTCGATCATTAGTTGTTTTTGTACCTAAATAGTTGTATTGACATATGCATTTACCGATAATTTAATTTTTCAAATTTAATTTGTTTAAAAATGACTGAAAAAATGTTAATATTTATTACATCGTTAAGCGCGCATGCTAAGCCTCGCCTTCCCCACTCGTTCGCTAGACGAGACTTTTTCGAAATTAAATAGTTGAATTCACCTTAATGTTAATGTAGGACATGAAAATATAGCTCTTAATAGATACTCTCTCCAAATTTCGGCTCTTAATATTAATAATTAAGGTCACTGCGATTAAATAAATAAAAAAAATTATCTCAGCTTCTAATCAACAACAATTTTTTTTTTAAATTCGAAGAAAACTAAAGTAGAGGTTACTATTTTATTTTATAATAATTACCTATCTTAACAATTTAATAAATATTAACATTTTTTCAGTCAATTTTAAACAAATTAAATTTGAAAAACTAAATTCTCAGTAAATGCCTATGTCAATACAACTATTTAGGTACAAAAACAACTAATGATCAAAACCCTACAACGCCTGTGAGCTTGGGAAAAATGAATTAAAAATAGCATCTTCTTAGATAACAAATTCCGCCAACGCCAAACCAATGGAGCTTTCGGGCTGAAATTTTTACCACTTATTAAGGGTGTAAAAAGCCTTAAAAATCCTGAATTACAAGTGTCTGCGATGAAAATTGCATTAATTATTAGCAATTGAAAAAAAAACGGCAATTTTCGACCATTTTTGAGCTCTTGTCCATAAACAAATTATCGGAATTTAATCGGACTTTTTTCATTTTATAGGCTTATTTAATACCTACCTGTTTTGTATAAACTTTTTTCGCTATGAATAATAGCTTTTTTACGTGAGTCAAAAAACCACTTTTCCATAACTTTGACCACTGTTAAAACAAAGTTTCCCAACTGGTCTCAAGTTGATTTTTTGATATTTTATTTATAACAGGTTTCCGAACATTATTCTGCAGAGAAACTTCTAATAGTATTTTTTTCCCGAAACAGGCTCTTTCATGTCTATAATGACTGGCCTAAAACTGATGACCGCCCGCTTTCATACAAAAGTAAAGATTTTGTTCGAAACGTTCGCGCACATTCCGAAGCAATTCCGGAGTGATTCGACGGCATTAGTCGACGATTCTTTGACGCAAATCTTCCAGCGACGCTGGCTGTGTTTTATAGATTTTACTTTTTAGGTAACCCCACAAAAAAAATCAAGGGGCTATAAATCCGGTTATCGTGGAAGCCACTCAATGCTGCCTCTTCTCCCAATCCAATTCCGTAGAAAACGTTGGTTCAAATACTGACGGACAATTAACGCATAATGCGGAGGAGCACCGTCCTGTTGAAAAATCAAATGATCTTCATCATACTCTGAAACATTTTCAATAATATCAGTCGAAGCAGGGTCAATAGCGTCTTCCAGTAATCGCAAATACATTTGGTCAGTCAAATTACCAGGTAGAAAAAAAGGACCCACCAGCCGGTCACCGAAAATTCCAGTTCATACATTTAATTTTTCCGGTTACTGTGTATGCATCTCGTGAAATCTCTTGGGCTTGAATCCCAATGAAAAACAGATGTTAAAAAGGAACTGTGGATCGTTCCCTGCTCGCTCACTCATTATTTCGCAAAATTGAAAACGGCGGTCATAATCATCCTCATGAAGTTCCTGGACTAATATTCTTCTTCAAAATGGTTTGTATGCTAGTTCGATTGATCCCAGACACAGATGCCAGCTGCCTCGTAATTAATGTAGGATCAAGATGAACTTGTCCCAAAACTGCAACTTCGCTAGTTCCATTAACTACAGGTTTTTAAATTTCTCGTTTTTTATTGGCTACGTTCTCTGTCTCTTGAAATTTTTTTACTAACTCTAGAACATACTTCCTCCTGACATGTCGATGTTGATGTTGTTCATTAAATAGCTGAGCTGTTCTATTCGCACATGTATTGTTCATAAAGTAAAGCGAAATGATATCTACCCTTTCCGCAATGGAATAAACCATAGTGTTTAATTTTCAAAAACACAATTAAATAAACTACCAACCAACGCTTCCAAATAATACGAAAATAATTTGGAAACCCCTAATTTTACGTTCATTGTGTGTATAGCATTCATTTCTGGTTTTTTACAATTGTGTTTTTTTACGAAATTGATAACAAATCGCCAAAAACCAATGTAACGCAAGAAATACTAAATTTATACCATTGGCGTAGGTACTAAACTCGAATGACTGACATTTTTACCGTTACTAATTGTTTGTACATAAGTTTCAACTTTAAAATCAAAATTCTTAATAAATATTGGGCGGAATTATAAAATTTAAAGTCTGTTGTAAAGAGAAGTGTAAGAGCTTTGGAAAGAAATATTACTCAACCCCCAATGCCATTTAAATATTTTGGGGCGATGCTTGGGGGTGAAAGTGGCGGAGTCAAAAATACCAGCAAAAAATGCCCCCCTTTAATCTAAAATCGACGGGTCTGAGCGTTTTTCTACAATCTTGACGCAGTTCCTGAAAATGGCTCTGTTTCGTTTTCATTTGGCCACCCTGTATACAAATTGTATACATTTTAAAAACCACAACTACCATAACACTGTCATTAAAAGTGTATGTTATTCTTTAATCGTTAACAATAAAATTGAATTTAAATTTTCAACTTTCATCGACTATACAATACTTTGTCATTTGTATCTAACAGCCGTGAGGAAAAAAACGCCATTTTGTCCCTGAAGTGACAATCAATATCAATCGATAAACACGGTGAATAGTTACATAGGCTCAATAATTAAAAACGCCCTCGAAATAAAAATACTGCTGACCTTCACATTTTCTAGTTACGTGCATTAATCACAGGGTTCATTTAACTGTTACGTATACGAGGGCAATGAGTATTTTTTCGTGAAATGGCACTTGCATACTCATTGCCTGCCTCCGTGAAGAACAGTGTAAGGAAAACAACTTTCAAACGTTCTTATATAACCCAAAGGATACAAGAAGCCGTAACTCTTAAGGTTACAGCTTTAAAAATATCAAATTGTTACTCTTCCTCCAGATAATGCCGACTTAATTGATAAAACCTGTATTTGGAAATAGTTACGAAATTTTGTAGGAACTGTTTTTTTTTCCGTTGCTTAGCTTTCAAGTGTTTTTATTGAACTAGATTATCAAAAACAATAGCATGCACATAGCTATACCTGATATGTCCCGCAAAAGATATTAATTAATTTTCTTAATAAAGTAAGGTATTACTTACTACTTCAAAAATACATGCAGTTCGCGTCATAAGCTCTATTCCGCCGTCCCTTTTACCAGCGTCGATCGCACGCCCCACTAGAGAGCTTATGTAACGTTCCAATAATGCATCAATATAAATTCTTCGCAGGCGATTACTGCACCAGGCGTCTGAAGCCGTAGAGAGGGAAAGACACCTTAAAGAAGCACAACATTTGTATTTAAACCTGAAAGGGGTGTTAGCGAAACAACCGGGGCCGGGAATTCAGGAGCAGTTACTGAAAACACAGAGGGCGCTGAAAATTAGAGGCGACAAACTCAAAGTAAGTCCTTTACATATTATCTTTTGTTTTTTTTTTAGCCTTTTTTGTTGTGTTGGCTTAGCTACGTCTTTTTTTTTAATTATATTACTTGAATTAATCATCCCAAACATGAATATAAATTTATTATTATCCATTTAATACATTAGGTACTTTCTTACCAGTAAGTTTATGTTTAATGAAATCTGTACCGACTAATTTTCATACCTTTGTTAAAAAACGAAGGAAAAGCTTTAACAATCGTTTGTGATTAGCAATAAATAGGATTTCATGTACTTATAACGCTTCACGAATGGAGTATAGACAAAAATAATCAAACTTGAATATAAATTTATATTATTCATTTATTACATTACTTTCTTACCAGTATATTTCTGTTTAATGAAATCTGTACCGACTAATTTTCATACCTTTGTTAAAAAACGAAGGAAAAGCTTTAACAATCGTTTGTGATTAGCAATAAATAGGATTTCATGTACTTATAACGCTTCACGAATGGAGTATAGACAAAAATAATCAAACTTGAATATAAATTTATATTATTCATTTATTACATTACTTTCTTACCAGTAAATTTCTGTTTAATGAAACCTGTACCGCCTAATTTTCATATTTTTGCTAAAAAACGAACGAAAAGCTTTATCATTCCTTTGTGAATGGCAAATAGGATTTCGTGTACTGATAACGCTTCTCGAATGGGGTATAGATAAAAATAACCTGGTTGTTTAATTACAGAGTTTAGTGTCTGAATTGAACATGGCCGAATTAAAAGCAGCAGAGTACAAATCAGATCTCCAGAGGGTCACCGACGAATTAGCTGAATTGAAGAGGAAATATTTGGAAGAGAAAAAGGCAAATCGAACGCAGCGCATGGCAGTCACAACAAGCCGAGAACTGAACCGCAGCCGCGGAGACGCTAACGAAGTGAAATTTACTGGTGGCGGTTTTCGAATGTCTGTGCCACAAATTTCCACAAAATAGCCTTTCTAAAAAATCCCCTGTCCGTTAAATAACTTCCTAGAGTGTACTCTCCTTTACTTGTAGGGTAAGTAATAAGGTTCACGGAAAACACAACGTATTTGGTGAATAATGAAAAAAATAGTTGTAGGTTAAAGAAAATGTCAAAGGTTTTAGAAGTTTGTGTTGACAGTATTGAGTCGGCTGAAAATGCGATTACCGGTGGAGCCGACCGGCTTGAGTTGTGCTCTTCTCTCATAGAGGGCGGTTTGACTCCCACTCCTGGCCTACTCATTCAAATTCAAAATATGAATTCCAGAAATATTCCTGTTTACTGTCTACTGCGATGCCGGCCCGGCAATTTTATTTATAAATTGGAGGAAATAGAGGTTATGAAAGAAGATGCTAGGATTTTGAGAAAGCATGGCGCTGACGGATTTGTTTTTGGAGCTCTAACCGAAAACGGAGAAGTCAACATGAAATTTTGTCGCGAGATAATTAAAGTATGCCATCCTCTGCCGGTTACATTCCACAGAGCATTTGATTTCTGTAAAAGGCCCACTATTGAGGTTGAGGTGATCATTGACTTGGGTTTCCAAAGAATTCTTACGAGTGGCAAACAAAAGACGGCTCAGATGGGGGTGAAGCTGATTAAAAAATTGTTGGAACAAGTTGGAAACAGGATCATCATTATGCCTGGAGGAGGAGTTAATAAGGATAACGTAAAATTCGTAGTCGATAACACAGGAGTAAGCGAAATCCATGGTTCTTTCAAGGTTGTCAAAGAAGAAGCACCGAGTGATTCAAAATCTGAAGAGGAAAGTGAAATTACTATCGGAGACGGGCCCTTGTACGTAACTGATGAGACTGCTGTTGCAGAAATCGTAAACATTTTAAAGACTGTTTAAGACTTCGTTAAATTAAACACCTGCATGTCACGGTGATATGTGTTGGTACCTAAATAAATGTACAACAAATTCTACTTGTTTATGTTTCTGTGAAACTGTACCTATGTAACTGATGTATTGAATAAATGTATAATTTTTACCAGTTCTTTCATTTTTATTACGTTATTTATGTTATAAAAATTTAGAGTATTGCAACTTACCTATAAAATCCACAACTGATGCTAACATTAGTTTTATATGATACGCTAACAAATATTTCTATTATTTAAAAAAAAACATTTTCGATCAATTAAAAAAAGAATGGGTAGATACTTTCAAAAACTTGCTTAAACAGCTAAACCACTCTTGACAATTTCGCAATTATAATTGGATGAAATAGAAGCGTTATCATACAATTGAACATTGAACCAATCATCTGTCTTATTCTCTAAGAAGAAACAAGTCGATTGGTTAATTCTTTGTTATTTAATTTTTACACTTAACTTTATATTCAAATATGGATTTTTTGGAAGAAAAGTTCAGTAAATGGTAAGAAAGCTTACTTTACAATTAAATTGTATTTCGATTGTAGTTCGGTTCCAAAGAAGACTATTAAATAAAAGTGAGGTTATCGGTCATTGCATTCCTAAATATTCTATTTTTAATTTAAGCACTGCAATACCACAATATGGAAAAGAAGACGCAAATTTACCCTTCTTTACCATACGGTGATTTTAATTCAGATAACAATTTTTCTCTAAAACTTCTTTCGGGCCTAGGCAAGTCAACAAAAAGAGGGATAAGGAAATGTTTCAATTGTGGTGTATACAACGGAAATAGGAGCACGATGTGTAAAAACAAGAAATGTGGCGTTGTCTTGAAGGATTCTGAAGAAAAATCCAAAGTAAACCTAGATGCTGTGAAGTTGCTCACTGGTACTGAAAGGCAAGTATACTCTGTACGAGTTCGAGATATGGGACCCGACTGTCGAGGTTTTGTCCAGTTGCCTCTGTTACAATCCCACAATGAGGAAGACGCCAACATTTTCTCAGAGGTGGCTTTATGCTTTGTTAACTCTTGTCAAAACTCATTCGATAACTCGATTCTAAAATGCCATGAGGAAGAACAGTGCCATAACAATGTATTCTGTGTTCACATTAATTCTGCTTTGAAGAGCCAGAGTACTGCTTCACCTGTAGGGTTCAAAAGTGAGATTTTGGAATCGTTGAAGATTGCAGATGACATGAGGGAGAGGCTCCTTTTGCTAGCTACCGAAAGGGAGGGGCCTTTGGTTCAGAGAATTTCAAAATCGGTTATGGCAGTGAAATGCCAAGTTAGCCCAAAGCATCCTCTTGGATATTTGCATTTTACTTTTCTTCGAGGAAAAGGCAAAGATGTTTACGAAAAGTACTACTGCAGCTGTACAGAGTTTATGGGTAAGTGAAAAAATGTCTACCTATGTAGGTTGTCCAGATCTGGAATACCACTGTCAAATTTCTGTGCATCATACGGTTACAATTGTTTTTTTATGTATACAGTTTCTTCAAATTTGTTACATAACTTGTTTTGGAAGAAAATAATCCTACGGTGACATTTTTTTTTTAAAAAATCTTCCACGTTTTTGAAAAAATGCACCCATAGAAAAATGATAGTAGGCCGTGGATTTATAGCTATGGCCAAGACAGTTGTCCAATGACTATAAAATAATGGTTTCACTTAATTCTGCCAGCCTACTTGCCTATAATTATTAGGGAGGGTGTTAACACAAAAAATAGACATACTGTATAAATAATTATATATTTTTTGCACGATCAAGCTTTTTTAGTTCACTTACCATGTTTGTTTCTACGACAGTAGGATGCGCTTACTGGTTGCTAAGGCTAACAAAACGGTAAGTAATTCACTTACCGTTCTAGAATGGTAAGTGAATAACTGTCAAAATAGACATTTTCAACATCGCATTGATTTGGAATGAGTTTTCTAGAATTCAGTTTTAAATGTGGGAAATTGATATAAAAGAAAGATGTATTTTAAATCTATTTATTAATGTTGAAATTAAATGTACAGTTTGTACAATTGCTTACAGAAATTGGAGCAGTACATGTTTTTTCAATTTCTATTCTATTCTAGAACTGTCAATTTCGTCAATTAAGAAAGCCTTGACAACAATAAACATCAGTAGATTTCAAAAAACCTGCTTCGCAAATTTATTCAGAAACGTAATTTTTGACGTTACATACAAAATTAAATACGTATATATAATTTATATACTTATACTATTTATAAAAAATAGTATAAGCATCACGAACGTTAAGAGTTATACCGTTCTCAGACAAAATTGGAGACTGAGCGAAGGTTGTCTTCAAACGGTAAATTACCCTTACCATTCTTAATGCTTAATATATACTATATCAAAATCATCACGCACTAGGTATAGTTGATAACGGTGTTTTGGATCAAATCTGAACATTATATAGTATTCCTTTATATTTAATATATGTTGTAGTTTCCAATGATTTAAAAAATAAATTGTGCAATATTAAGTACAAATGCATACATTACTATGCTTGTATATGGGCATTGGCAAGCGATACAAAATATCGGGATGAATTTTCACATTTTCTGAGCTTTGACCTACCAACAACTCGTAAGTGAAATTAGTATTTTGTAAGGTATCGCATTACACAATTTTTTCTTTTTAGAAAATCTGGTAGTAAACGTAATTTCCAGTGAAGGTAGTTCACGCCTTTACAAAAATAAGTCTGTCATTAAAACTGGCACTGTGGGGAACATATCAATAAATGCTTCGCGCAAGAATAAAAAAAAACTGTTGAGAGTAACTATTGTCCCAGTGAAAGGTTTTATCTTTTTATGCAGTTATTTGTTTGTAGAAAACTCTAAGGAGGTCCATCAACATCAAAAAGTGTAAACGACTAATGCCTAAGGTACTTCCGATAGAGATAAAAGTATTAAATGAATCGAAAGAAAGCCACAATGACATTTCTTGGAAATTTATAGAATGGCTTGGATATGTTACGGAATCTATCAATCAGACAATGAAATTCGAAAACTGCAGTATTTTGATTACTTTGGTTTTCCATCTACCCGAGGTTAGTGAAAATTTGTTTACAGTTTTTAAGAGAATTACTATAGTTTAATTGACACATATTTTTAAGTTATATTTCAGTTAAGGTCATATATTTATTACTTAACTAATCAAGTAATCTGCTCCTTTTGTGGTACAGTATTTCTTGTTTTTACCAACCATTTGTTTGTTTGAGTTTCTAACCTCTTTTTTTTAACAGATGCCTTGAGTATTATTGTTGTATGTGGTTGATTTGTTTTAGTGTTTTTATAATTGTTTTAAAAAGCGGATTCCCAGCATATATGAAGAAATTCAAAATGGTGGTGCAGCTCATTACAACATTATGAATATATTGCATCTGAAAGAAATCTTCGACACACCCCAGGTATGACGGATAATAGTAATACCTAATTTTTTAAAACTGTTTACTGTTTTAGATTAAATTAAAAATTTCAAAGAAGGTCGTCCACCACGAACAGAAGGGCTACGTAGAATATGATGAAAACGAAGAGAACAACAACAGCTATCAGTGCTCTTTTATATTTTTTTTAAATGTAGGACAGTCTACAGTTGACGAAAGTGAAAATACTAATAATTCATTTATTATTGAATGGTTGCCGATGGTTACCAGTTTGACCAAAGTAGGAGAACTAAAACTTCAGTATAAATATGGAAGGAAAAGCACCTAAGGTAGGTCCTATCTTTATTTAAATTTGGCATGTTAGTTAAATTGTTGCTTGTGCAGTAATGTTGCACCTTCAAGGCTAAGTTGGGTAATTTTACTTGAAGTGGGTTGTGTTTTTGCTTTTAGTACATTTTTAATTTGTTATTGTGCAATAAAAAATCAATGGTGATACTTAAAATTACAGTTCAGTACAAAACTCTGTAATACTCACATAATATGGTTACGATAACTATAAAGGACTACAACGCAATATTTTTGTAAAATTTGGTTCCAGCATAGGTAATTTAATTAAATTACAAATCATCAGTGGGGGTGGTTAAGAAAATGTCTGCTCAGTTGATTATGAAATAAAATATTTTGGCAACTGCTAATTTAATTGTAGGTATATTTTACAATATATTTCTTCCAAAACCTTTTTGCATGAAAGTTCTCCATGTGGGAACGAAAGCATCCACTATTCGAATGTACATGTCCCACTCCTTTTTATCAAAATACGACTATCTACTTTAATTACCATTCTCCGCTGCATGAATGTGTGTTCCCAAACTGTGAAAGTTTCTTGCTTCATTAATACACTAATTCCTGTATTTATTATACCTGTATTGCATTTTGTAAAGTAAAATTTGAAGTACTACCGAACTCTTCACAATTTTAGGTTCAACATTCTACATACTTTTCATCCTTTGGAATTTCTAAGGCAAGTTATAATGTGACATTGTAAGTTGTCTAATTTATGATTGTATCATACCAAAACACTTTAAATTGAAATAATCTTTTATTACAATTGAGAAAAACGTTTATGAACAATTGTTAAAAAATGTATGTACATGATTACATTTAATTGACAGTAATCGTTATATTTGTGTTTTAAAATTGAGAATTGAAAAGCACCCACTGAAAAAAAAACATATTGTTATTTATTCTACTGTATATGTTTTTCAATAAAATATATTGTGTGAAATTCTTTAACATTAATTATGTTTCTCAATGTACATTCCTTTTCCTTAATTAAAATAATCGTGAGTTCAAACAGAAATGTTTCTCTTAGTCGTGGGTTAACAAATTAGCTATAATTTTATCTAATAAACTTTAAACTTTCTTAATGTTAATAGTTAATTAACCTCATTAATTAATCTATTTGTTTAGGCCGGTCTATCGTGTAATTTACTGAATTTTAATAGATAATATATTGATTACCTCTGTGCATGCAATTATAATCCACATTATGTATTTTGTGTACTTCTTATGTAGTAAGAAGCCAGAAATAACTACCAGTTTGGTTGCACGTGTAAACTAGTGTCATACAACACTATCGCGTCAAAAGTAAATAATAAACTTTTGGAAATCTATATTTAGCTTTAGAATGTGAAGCAACCTTTGATATTTGTTTCTTTTTTTGTTTTATTGTAACACTGATAACGTGTGGTGCCACTACTAACGCTCAGTCGCGCGATATGCTCGAAACGAGTATGTACCTACAATGTTCGACAAGTACGTGTTCACTTTATCTGACATCGATAAAGAATACATTGCAAAACATTTGAATGAAACGGATGAGGTTAGACAGGCGGCTTTGGAGGAAACAAAGAAATGGCTAACGGATGTAAGGCCCGATTTACACGCCCGACTAAACGACAAACACCTTTTACCCTTCCTGCGCGTTTGCAAATTCAACTTGGAACGAACCAAAGAGAAACTGACAAATTATTACACCATGAGGAGAGACAGAACGGAGTGGTTCCAAAACAGAGACCCGCTCTTACCAGAGATACAAGAACTGGTAAAACTAGGCGTTCTTATACCCTTAAAGGAAACATTCGAGGGCAAACTGGTTGTTATAATTCGTACAGCTGCCCACGACCCGTGGAAGCATAAACAAAACGACGTCTTCAAGACGGGCAAGATGTTGCTAGACATAGCGGCCTTGGAGGAAGAAAAAGCCCAAATCTATGGCGTCACCGCCATCTTCGACATGGCCGGCGTGGGATTAGCGCACGCGAGACAACTCACGCCCTCTATGATCAAGCAAGCCGTGTTCGCTTGGCAGAACTATCACTGCAGGCCCAAACAACTTGAATTCGTGAACGCACCGCTTTATATCAACATTGTGCTGAAAGTGTTCAAAAGTTTTCTTTCGGCCAAGTTAAGGGAAAGGGTAAGAGTGCATTTCGGAAGCATTGAGTCCCTCCATCAGGTGGTGGACCAGAAAATTCTGCCTCCGGAGTATGGGGGACAGGGTGAAAGTATGGAAAGTCTGGTGGTGTATTGGAATGAGAAATTGGTGGATTATAAGCAGTGGTTCGCTAACGACGAGCAGTACAAAGCAGATTGAATTGTTTTATTTTTTGTATTTGGAATTTAATAATTAACTTTGTATGTTTCACAGTACGTGTTACATTATAATATGCTGTATCCTTATGTACCAACCACATAAGTTAAAATTATTGATTATTAGCAATATATTATCTATTTGTATATTTATTAAAAATTAATAAACTTTGATGTAATAAAAAATAATGCCGAACATTTTTAACTTGACATTAGTGAGAACAAGTGTTTTCATACATACCTAAGTATAATCCTCGTGTAAAATCACACATATTTTATGTGCCTTTGTATATCGACGCTAGTACGAATCTTAATGGAAGTCTAAATAACGGAATTCGGAGCGTGCATTGTTGTTAGCTTAATTTACTAATTTCAATAATTATTACGAGATAAATGTAAGTAATTTAAATCAGGATGTAATTTCGAGGTTATGCGGAAAAGAGATAATATTGTGTTAATGCTCCTAGGCCAACCAGTGCATTTTGGTAATCCTAAGAAAAAAAGTGGTTCTACCTGCATTATACCTGCGACAGTAGCATACAAAAAACTTTTTGCATTAAAAGATTTATATTTTATGATCAAAAACTAACAACACTGACGTATTAAGTAGGTACACTGCCGGCCCTTTGAAAGTGGACGATTTATTTTTCTAATGTGATGTGGTCTACTTCTTATTATGACAAGTTTTTATATGTCAGTGTCATTAGTAATTTGCTTGGTAATTCAAGATGCCGCGTTTAACGGAACCAGAGAAAGTGAGAGCTATAACTTTACTTCAGAAAGATTGGTCATTGCGGATGATCTGCATGTATGCAAGAACAGCATATTTAAACTCAAAGAAAAATGGATTGCGGAGGGTCACGTACGTTATGTTCACGGAGTTGGACGTCGAAAAGTATGCACCACCTTAGAATAAATCCTTTTGACATGGCAGTAGCGGCTTCCTTTGAGACGAATTTTCCTGGATCAGTGCGAACTGCAAGGAAGCGGGTGAAAGTTTCGGAGCTGAAGAATTATGTGGCCGCAAATAGGTACAGTTGCTTTGACTCCTAGTCCATTGAAAAGTTACATTTGGGGTTGCAAAAGTCAGAGCACGCAATTTTATTTTTTGGATGTCAAGAGGGGGTTAGTGTAAAGTTAAATCCATGTTTGTGGGGTCGCAACCCTTGAGCGTCGGCCGCCATCTTGTAAAAAGGGCTGGGAATGGTTTTTATACTACTAACTATATCGGGCAAACTATTCCTCGCACAGAAAATTTGTGAATATATTTCTTGTTGCAAATTAACCAAAAATAACAAAGTTATTAACGAAAATAGATAAAAATTTGGAAAGAAATTTAGTTTTGGCCGTTATAACTTTTTTTCTGGTCATTTTACAAAAAGATTACATCCGAGCATTTTGATAGAGGGGTTTTCAAGGAATAATTTCCATTACAAACATTTTTCAAATTTTATTTATTTATTAGGATTTTACAGCGATGCGAAACTATGAATATGAATGATTAGGCATAGGAGGCGTCCTTCAGTTTTCTTCCAGTTGTACTACCACGTGCGTGCGTGACATATTTAATTGTGAAAAGTATTTTGAGTTTTGTGGACAGTATTTTGAATTTTGTGGACAAGATTTTGAGTTTTGTGAGAGCTATTTTGAATTTTGTGAAAAGCATTTTGACCTTTTTAAGCGTTCATATAGTGTTATTCCATCATGAGTGATTGTTTTATTTGTAAAAAACCTTTATGGGAAAGTAAAATCAGAACTGTGAAGGCGAAAGGACTTTACTTGATCGAGCAATAACAAAAAATGATGAGGATAATGAACAATTTTTACGAAATGTTTCGGAAGTCACTGTACATATATCATGTTACCATTATTATAGCGACAGTCGAACGTATAATGTCGTTCATCGTTTCAGCAGCAGCAGTTTATCAACTTCAGTTTCAGAAGATCCAGAGGCAAGCTTTGATTTTGTGAACAATTGCTTCATTTGCGCGGAAGCGTTTCAGGATCAGAGTAAGCGGCAGCAAAGACGACAACGGCGGGTTTGTAATGTACGTAATGACGGCAATAAAAAAAGTATTATGGACCTCATAAACAAACGTACCGACGATGTTGCAACGGGCATTGCTAATCGCATAGTTGATGTTCCCAGCTTAGTAGATATCGACATTCTTGTCTTGCTCACGGCATTTGGAAGAACACATTCAAATATATATTTTTTTAAACCATCGAAAGGACGTACAGCCGAACAATTATATTGTCCGTCAAGTTTTATGTACGGAGAAGTCATTGCGGATAATCTGTTGTTTCTCCATGCCTTCTCAGGATGTGACTTCAGCAGCTTACAACATCGGTAAAATGAAATTTCTCGCAACCCTGGAGACACGTCCTGAGTTAGCTAGTGGAACAGCGTTATTCTTCAATGAGATAGTCGTCCCTACTTTACTCACTGCCGTTGGCGAACGTTTTTTCATCTCTTTATATGGTGGCAATGAAGATGATGATTCTCTGGACAGTCTTAGATATAAACGATTCGCCAAGTCAGTGACAAAGAATACATTTAATTTGTCTTCACTTCCTCCAACACAAGACACAGCCCGCTTGCACAGCCTCGGAGTCTATCATCAGGTCCAGTCGTGGCTCGGGATTTACAACGACCCTCAAGACTGGGGCTGGAAAAAGTATGGACAAATATTGATGCCTATCCAAAGTTGAAAACCTCCAGCACCCCATGAGCTTCTAGTTGATATTCTGCCGATGCAAAGGAAACTGGAGCAATGTGTGGATGTCGGAAGGCAGGCCTCAAATGTTCTGCAGTGTGCCTGAACTGTTCTGGGGAGACATGCAGCATCATAATGGAGATATCAAAATTGATCGAGGAAAATGATTTTGAAGATGAACTGCCAACAATGACGCCACATCATTCTCCATCCTTCCTCGACAATTCAATATCGGAAGCTCCACCAGATCCTGAGTCGCAGCCTGGCACATTAAAGAGACTGAGGACACAGTAGATTGGGAAATACATACTAGGGATACGACGTAAAAAAAACGCGCCACCAGACTTTACCCCGTAGGGGGTGAGGAGAGGAGTCAATAACTAATTAACAACATTGCAATATAAATAATTAAAATGTTTCTTATAAAAATAATGGAAAGATGAGAGAAAACTATGCCTAATCATTCATATTAATGTATACTTACTAGTACTGGAGAATAGTGTAAGTTTCGCAACGCTGTAAAACCCTAATTAATAAATAAAATTTGAAAAAAGTTTGTAATAGAAATTAGTCCTTGAAAACCCCTGTATCAAAATGCTCTGATGTAATTTTTTTTGTAAAATGACCAAAAAAAAAGTTATAACGACCAAAAGAAAATTTCTTCCCAAATTTTTATCTATTTTCGTTAATAACTTTATTATTTTTGGTTCTACGACTAAAAGTTACGGAACCAAATTTGTAGAGAATTTAATTTGCAACAAGAAATATATTTCCAAATTTTTTGTGCGAGGAATAGTTTGCCCGATATAGTCAGTAGTAGTATAAAAACCATTTGCAGCCCTTTTTACAAGATGGCGGCCGACGCTCAAGGGTTGCGACCCCACAAACATGGATTTAACTTTACACTAACCCCCTCTTGACATCCAAAAAATAAAATTGCGTGCTCTGACTTTTGCACGCTAAGCCCAAAAAAATGTAACATTTCAATGGACTATCCCCAGTATAAAGAACAGAGGGTAGAGTTTGCAAGACAATTTGTAGGAAGCCCAGACAACTTCTGGAAGAATATTATATTTTCGGATGAAAAAAGTTTTCAGTCTTGCTCCGATGCTTCTGTCCGTGTCTACCCACCAGAGATTATAAGGTATTCGGAGCCTTATGTGAAACCCACACAACGCAGCGATAGATTCTCTATTAACGTTTGGGCTTGGATAAGCTGGATAAGTCGTGATGCTTGTTGTGACCATGCTGTATCCTCAGAATTTCACTTTCCAGCAGGATAATTGTGCAATTCACACCTCAAGAGTTGCGTCAGAATGGTTCATTGATAACAACATCGATGTTTTACCTTGGCCCTCAAAGTCCTGGGGATATACAATAGTGAAAAAAACTTACAACAGAAACTTCCGTCCAGTTAACGTCGAAGAACTTTAGGAGGCAATTGAAAACGCATGGAATAACATCACTGAGGATTATAACAAGAACATTAATTTTATCAATGCCATGTAGATTGCAGTGTTATAGACAAAAATGGTGCTTGAGCAAAATACTAACTTTACGAATCGCCTTTTTTTTGACGACGAAAAATGTTTCATTTTTAGAGCTCCTTCACGGCGAATGAATGGCTGTTAGAATGTATAATATATTTCAGTATTGGAAAAATAAATAATTTGCTACCTAATTTGGATTTGTTTTGTTCAATAGAACTAGTATGATAGACACACATTAAATTTGACATAATGACAGCCGATTTGAACCTCACATTTTCAAGTCAGCTTCACAAAGGCCAATTATAGACAATTTGCTTATGAGTCGTCCACTTTCAAAGGGCCGGCACTGTACTCTTAAAAATATCCCTTATCAAATTTCAATTCAGTCAGTACATTGCCTTTGGGAAAAGGTGCGGATAAAATTTTATTTTTGACGTCCTGTACCTTAATAATAAAAGGTGATAGACGCATGGTCTATAATAAATAAATAAATTTTATATATATTTTTTGATGTTCTGCCACGCCCTTTTGTTTGCAGGTAGGTAAACCTCGGGTCATCATTTTTGAAAAATAAAAATTTTAAATGGTCCTTTAGGTGTGCATTAATTTTTGCAATACCCAGCACCCTGTATACACTTTTTAAATATACAGGGTAGGAAAGTACCGATGGTCTATCTGAAGTTACGTGAGAGCGATAAAGTATAAGCCATAGAAATCCATGCGATAGAGAAGGATGGCTATAATGAAGGCCTCTCATAGTCACCGCCCGTTTTGCCCTTCCACAAATAAGATCCACTTCTTATTTGTGGAAGGGCGAAATGGGCGTTGACTATTAGACGCCTTCATTATAGCCATCCTTGTCTATCACATGGATTTCTATGGCTTACTTTATCGCTCTCACGTAACTTCTGATAGACCATCGGTACTTTCCTACACTGTAGAGTAATCCAGGTTTTAATCTAATTTCAATTCAACATGTCCCCGACTGGATGAGATATTTATTTGTAAGTCAATTTGACAGGTTTTTACTTCCACTTAGATAAATTATTATTAGGGATCCGAGTTTCATCAGTATCCATTAAACTAAGACATATTTTAGAAAATGTGCTATTTTTTCTAACTTCAAAAAATTATACAGGCTGCCTTACGGCGTTGAGTGAAGGAATAGTATTCTTTCACTTAACGCTTACGGTGACGGCCCACTAGAATATTTCAGAGACTACTTCGATTTCAACTTTGAAAATTTAGGCACCATACAGGGTGTTCCATTTAGAAAAACAAAGTTTTAGCGGTTCGAAGTTAAGCAAATTCAACAATAATTTTCACCACCCTGTGTAAAATTGAACAGTTTTTAAAGTAACTGTAATAAATGGTAGGCATCCCCCTATCTTCCTCCCAAATATCAAAATTTCAGCTTGCACGATGTAAAAAATTTTGAATTAGGCTATCGAAAAGCAACTTTTTTTTTATAGAACTGAAGTATCTCGAAGACCATTAGAGATAGATATAGGGACGCTTGATAAAAGTCCCCTTTAAATTAAGCCTAGGATCCAAATATACAAAAATTGCTTTATTTTATTTAAAGAGAGCACCCGAAAAATTCAAATCGAAGTATTCTCTGATGCGCCATTTGTTGACAACGGCTTCGTGCAATCTGATTGGTCGCTGTACCATTAAAGTGTGTGATTTATTACTTGTCATCATTTATGAGATGCGGTACACATTTTAATTGTATTTAAGCGGCTCTTGACTTCCATACCAGAAAGAGCGGACAAATTTAGGTCAAAGTATTGAAAAAAAAATCAAATATAAATGGGTACGTAGTTTTATTTTAATTACTATTGAAATATACGGAAAATGTACTCAACATTATTTTTTACAGTGAAAGTCCATTATTCTGCTGTTGCTCCAAATAAATTTATCAATTACTTTTTAATTAAAGTTGAGTATTTCCCGCACACTTTGATTTTTGCAACACTCAATTTAAACATTTACAATTTTTTAAAAAACAAGAAATATTTACATATTTCTAACAAAATTTTACAATCAAAACGGCGAATAATTATTATTTGGTTACGGTTGACTAAACAGCCCAGACAAACTGCATAGTAAATACGCACTACTCCCACTCCGTCTTTCACTGCTGCGCGACAGTAACCATAACCACCGCTGTAAACACTTTACTGATGTATAGGCGAGCTGCGAGGAGCCTACGTATTCAGTTTTGCAAACGAATTTTGCAAGTCGAGTTAAATTGACCGCACATTACAAATGTCATATTTCCTTTATATTATGTGTTTCGTAAGGCTAATCTATTTTATTATAGGGATACCATTGTAAATTAGATTTTATATGAAATTTTTTGCTACGAAAATTTCTAGGAGGGGCGACGCCCCAGAGCTCCCCTCCCGCACCGGCTGCCGCTGTATTTAATGTATTAAAAGTTTACTGGATTTCGTCGTCCGCTACCTAGAGATTGATTCCATAGTTGTGTACTCCTGCCTGGGCTCTAGTAATTATCGTGTAACTCAATTTGTTTCCTTTTCTTGAAAAACATTTATATATTTTTGTGTGTTACGCCACTGCGTTTTATTTAAGAGCAGATGTTAGTGATTAATCCAGTATAATTTAAAAAAGTAGAGCAGTCAGACACGAACGAATTTCGTCGCGCCTCGCCTGACTGTACCGAGACGTTTTTTACAAATCGCGATTTTTATCTGAAATTTACGAGCAGCCAGGTAAGCAACCATTGCTCGGCTTTCGCATCGGCCTGTGCAATAATCAATCCACTAGTAGCAGAGCCTGTACGGTCCATGAGTTTGAGAGAAAACAATTAATGTGTACAGTTATATTACGAGCGCGGTGTCGACAACATGTCGAAAGGATACGTTTCCTCTCTCGACGATGAAGCCAGGCGTTATGCTCGGGATAACCTCAACGAGACCGAGGAGAAGAGAAGGGTGGCCTTGGGGGAGATCAGGAAGTGGCTGGAGGAGGAAAAGCCGAATCTGAACGCGCGTCTGGAGGACGAATACATCCTGCCGTTCCTCCGAGGATGCAAGTTCAATTTGGAGAAGACCAAGGCGAAATTGAGGAACTACTATACGATGCGACGGGATAGACCCGAGTGGTTTCGCAACAGGAATCCTCTCCTACCAGAAATACAAGAGCTAGTCAGGAATGGAGTTTTCGTGCCTCTTCGGGAGAGGTACGTAAAAAGAGCACCTACATTGTATTTTATTTGTTAGCGTGCGGAGTATGAGTCAGCGCATTGTTTGCAATTTTTTACGATTGTGCTGAAATAGGAAAACTGTCGTATCAGTAGTAATCTCAGTTTGCTAATTTTTTAATATAACTGTAATTACAGCATAATTATTTTCCTTTTCCTAGGTTTCACTTTGTTCTTGCTTTGTAGCTTTTGTTTGTGATTTACCCTGATCAATGAAAAGTAATAGCTCGGGATCGATTTTCAAGAAAAATTGATTAGTGTAGGTCTTTTATATTTATACATTTTCCGTTCGTATCTGTAAACAGGTTTTTTATTGTTTTTTTGTGCACGCAATATTTTTCTATAACTTGCTATTTTTCAGTTATAATCAAACATAAACGATTGTGAAAACTTTTTTTATTTATAATTTTATAAGAACATGTAATTCTTTATACAGGGTGAGTCAGTTTTTTGTAGTAGGATTTTAACAGTTGATAGAGAATCATTTTTTAATAAGAAAAGTTCCTATAAACGTAGGTCTTAGAACGCTTCGTTTGTGAGATATAGGGTGTTGAAAACAAACTTTTTTTAAGAATTTTTCTTAATATCTCTAAAAGACCAACATATATATTGAACTGAAATTTGGTATTAATAACACATTAGTTATGGTGAATTAAACAAAGGTATCTGTTATCCATTTCACACACCAGTGACGTGCCTGAGGCGGGTTACTTCCCCCTTTAAAACATAATTCGTACGCCCGTGAATTTTTCTGGAAAATAACATCATTTCTAAATTTTTTAATCAATTCTGAACAAAACAGGTCTTTCAATTTTTTTATAAAATGAACGGTTTTGGTTAAATTCATTTGGCATGAAACTGTTCCAACGATATTGGTACCTAATATATTTGTGATAATAATATAATTAATAAAAATCCATTGAATTTAGATCGAGGTTTCTAGGAAATCATCAAATTTTATTATTTTTTTTTTGTTCCATTATTGGATTTGTTACAGGATGTTGGAATTTTGGGGAACATTCAATTCACTGAACAATAGGTACATCCACATTAAAAAACGTAAAAGGAAATGCAGTAAAGTTTTATGATCTCCCAGAAGTCAATTTGAATTCAATAGATTTTAATTAATTAATTATATGTTAATCAGTTTCTGGCTTAATTACGCGAATCATAAGTTTTTATGAAGAATTAAATTTTGTCATAAATTTATAAATATAAAAGTTCTTCATCTCACTAGAGACACTATATATTTTTATATGGGACATATAGTGTGCCATTTTCTATTTCGATAATAATTTTTATTCAAAACATTTATTCAAATATTAAAAAAATATTTTTTCTGCAAATCAATTGTTTTTTGCCAACTCTGTGTGCCATGGATGTATCTGATCTCTCAATTAAAAAAAAAAATGTGTGTACCACCAAACAGCCGAACTGCAAGAAAATAATTTTTGGTGTTCAATTAATTTTACGAATTTTTTATAAGCGGAAAGTATACCTACTTATAAGATGCGTCATTTATTAATAGTAATTGTATTATGGCTTATAGCTAAAAAAACTGGTAATTATAGAAAAAATACTATATACGACGCTGAAGAAATGAAATAAAAAACCTATTTACAAAAATGAAAAGGTAGTCTATACGTCTTAAATGAATCAAATTAACAAATTGCAGTTTTCATTGTTAATTTTTTTTTTCAAAAATCGATTTTGACTCATCTTAACCATCTCCTCGGGAAATACGAAAAATTCCCCAAAAAAATGGAAATTAGCCCACCCTGTACAGGTATATTCACATAACATTCTATACCTGATAGCTACAGAGCCTTCATAAATGATTACAAGCCACGTGACCAATAATTTGGAACAGTATTTTTATTTCCTTCGCATTGTCAGTTAAATTTCGGTAAAACAATAAAATCAAGATTGCATTAAAACACAACATTCTGTTTCACAGAGTGTAATTGGTGTAATTTTTCACGAGATTTTATCCAACCAATCATCTATCACATTATCTCGAGCGTAGACGTAACGGTTTGTCATTGTTCATTGTAAACGAATGATCAATATTGGTGATACCAAGATTTAGGGATTTTTCGTTACCAGTACTAGCCCTGCAATGTTGGTTGCCTAAGCTCCGTGGTCACGTAGCTTGTAAACATTTATGAAGGTTCTGTAGAAAATTATAATGTCCAGGGTTTGCTAGATTTTTTGTGATCTTAAAACGGTACATAAAAATCCAATAATTCGTGTTTTTTTAAACAGAACACATTTCCGAAAACTTTGACCTTTTTTACTTGTTACACTAATTGGTCGGTATCAATGACATTCCGATATTTTCAGATTCGAAAACAGACTAGTCATAATAGTCCGCACGGCCTCGCACGACCCCAAGAGGCACAGCCAGGACGACGTCTTCAAGGCGGGCAAGATGATCCTGGACGTGGCCGCCCTGGAGGACGAGACCGTCCAAGTATATGGCGTCACCGCCATCTTCGACCTCACAGGCGTCGGCGTGTTGCACTCCAAGAGTCTTACCCCGCATATGGTCAAAAAGACCGTATTTGCCTGGCAGAACTACCACTGCAGACCCAAACAACTGGAGTTCATCAATGCTCCCGTGTTCGTGAACGTGATGTTGAACATTTTTAAGAGTTTCATGACGGAGAAACTCAAGAAAAGGGTTGGGGTGCACTATGGAGGGAGCGAATCGCTGCACCAGGTCGTGGATAAGAAAATTCTGCCACCTGAGTACGGAGGGGAGGGGGAAAGCATGGAGAGTTTGGTGGAGTATTGGTGTGGAAAGTTGGTTAGCAGGCGAGAGTGGTTTGTGGAGGATGAGCAGTACAAAGCGGATTAAAAATAGGTAGTTTATTTATTTATATTTTGTTTTTGTTCTAAGGATTTACCAATCAGTGGCTGTTGTGAAAGTATTATTACAATTATTATTGTTACTTTGTACATTGTGAAAACTTTGTTGGTGAAAGTATTGCCAAATAAAGTATTCTTCATGATAGATTCTTGTTATTTAAAATGAAATAAATGCCTTATAATAACTATGTTTAATATGTAGTTAAAGGCCTATTAATGAAATATAATAAATATAACATTATAAAGGAAAATTGATCATAAAATAAAGTTTTTCTTTTTGTTTGTGGCTATAGAACATGTTAGCATGTAAAATATAAATTAAGTCGATTGAATTTGTTTTTTATACTGGTTCCAGGTGACTGACTTAACATTTGTCAAATATAAATGTGTCGTACTTGCAGATTATTTGACCATAACGCCAAGTTGTATCATATACATATACACTGTCCTGTTTTTCAGGTTAACACCTCCGGAAATGTGAGAAGGCTGTGGACTTTCCACAAGCCAATTTTTTTGCAAATAGTACCCTGAGGGGAGGTTATGTTTTAGTAATCATTTTATTGATGTGACAAAAGCCTGACCTACTACGATTTTTTTATAATGGTAAAAATTTCCAGAAAGTGGTATTAGGCATTTTTTTATCAAAAAGATAATATTACCAGGCTATTCAACACCCACCAAAAAACCCATTTACCAAATTTGATCGATAAATGTCTATTGAGTGTTTTTTTTTTATTTTTTTACACTTTTAATTGCGGCCACAGTAAAATTAATAATTAACGTATTAAAGATGTAATGAATTATAAATACGAAGTTATTAAACAAAAAATTGGAAAACAATCTCAATTAAATTTTAGTTTTCTCCACTAAACCTCCTTCTAATCGAACACGTTTTTCCAATCATCTTAAATTTAAAAATATTTTACTGGCTGCTATGGAGTAATTTCTGCGCAAGCTTGTCTTATGCGATTCTTTAGGTCATCCAAATTCCTTGGTCTGTTTTTATAAACTTTTTGTTTTATAAAACCCCCAAAAGTAAAAGTCCATAGGGGACAAATCAGGGGATCTTGGTGGCCATTGTACTACTGGACTCCTTCTCCCAATCCACTTATTCCAAATGGTGATTAAGCCAATAATTAATTACTGCGACAGTGTTGTGGATTGGAGCTCCATCCAACTGTAAATAAATATTTTTTCTTTCCAATAAAAGAATATCTGTATATATCCCATAATTCGTTATTTGCAAACTGAAGAAATACATCATTTAAGTTATAAAAAAGGAAGGGATCTATTACCCTGTGCTTTGAAATTTCACAAAACACATTAACTTTATGGAAATACTGCCTCTGCTGCAAATAGAAATTAGGATTATTTTCATTCTAAAATCTGACATTTTGAGAAGAAAAACTATCTACTGAAATGTTCACCCCTTAATCTAATAATCTCTATTTTTTCTTGTAAAGATACTGCTATGACTGCAAGAGATTCTTACTTTATAACACTAACTAGTTTATCAGTAACAGTTAAACGTCAAAAATGTTAGCAATGAAGCTTTTGTTTTTCATCATAAAAAACACTCAGTAGACATTTGTCAATCAAATTTGGTATATGGGTATTGTGATGAGTGTTGAATAGCCTGGTAATATTATCTTTTTGATAAAAAATGCCTAATACCACTTTCTTTTGTGTTTTGTGCACAATAAAGATATATTTATTTATTTATTTTATTTACTTTAAAAAATGGTAGTAGGCCGGACTTTTGTCACATCAATAAAATGATTAGTAGAAAATAACCTCCCTTCAGGGCACTAATTGTAAAAAAATTGATTTGCGGAAAGTCCACAGCCTTCTCACATTTCCAGAGGTGTTAACCTGAAAAACGGGACACACGTTATGTATTTGGTAAGTGCTTTCGATTGTATTGATGTGCACCATTCACACGATACGGCATTTGTTTACGTTCAAAATACATTTTTCAGGTGTCTGTATCATTTGGGGCCGGTAACGTTACCTACCTGTCAGTTTTTTATTGCCAGAAATCGATTGTAATTTTAATACAATTTGGAGTGATGAGATACTTGTTTTTTAAATACATTTATTGTAAAGTATTCAAGTTTTATTTGTTAATTGTAAAAAAATATTTATAGATATCAAGTCATGATTCATAAGAGATAATGATAACAGTAAATATGTATTTTGATAACTCTTAAAGTGTACGATAACTTTGAATTTTAATATTATTTGTTTATCTAAAATAAAGTAATAAGTAATTTAATATTTTTAATATTTTATTATCATCTTTTTTTCGGTGGTTACCAGATCAACCTTGTGGATTACCGTCTTTTTATAGTACTTGTAGTTTGACATCAGTTCGACATAGAATCATTTATCTTTCTAATACTCTCAAATAAGGTACTCATAAATCAGTGTGATTTATTTTTAGAATAGGTACTTTACAGTCAAAATTATCTTGAAAACATTTTTTTTAAATAATTTGTATACATATTGGAAGTGATAATTGTCACAGAAGAGGGAGAAATAAGTTAAATGATGTCTTATTCCTACTTTTTATTTTACTATATAACAAACGTACATCACAATACCATCTTATAACAATATAAAAATTAAAATTGAGCACATTAAATGATTATGCAGTATGTCTTAACGACACAACCTCCATTTCTTGATCCTTTTTACTACCCTTATAACCCTAAATAAATAGTAGGTGCATATCTGTCTTCTCGTTTCCTGCGAAGAGCTTTGTTCTGAAGTAGACGTTGTTCATGAAGACATTGGTGCATTGCATTAAATTGTATAAAAAATACAAAATTTATTTAATTTTTAACCTAGCATCTAGAGCCTACAATGTTTTGTTCTTATTCAAGGGCAAGTCCAAACAAATAAAAGTAACTGTGAACTAATTTATTTCTAATTTATGGACCGTACCGAAAATAAATAAGATTGCTGCGGTGAAACATTTATTGATGAAGAAATGGGTACAGATCATCCAGGTGGGGCACTGTCTCTCTTACGATTAAAAAAAACACCTAAGAACTTCAGCCTCGCTTGAATTTTAGCACTATCAAACTTATCGTCAGGAACAGCACTATCCATACTATCGTGGAGATGAATCCGAAGTATACGTCAGACTCCACCATTGACCATCCCCTGGTCATCATGGCTCTGAGGGACGTGGTGGCCAAGGTCAACGGTAGAAACGTGGAAATATACCTCAGGATCGTCGGCATACCCTCTATGGGCCAGATGACACCACTGAGAAGTAGAGTAGGGTAGAAACTGCCCAATGCCAGCTGGATGGCGTTTCTCTCCAACTCGCATATGGCGGAAATGACGAAGCCGAAGCACATCCCGCAGAGCCCCTGGAGGATGGTGATGACTATTACGAGGAAGATGTCGCCCCTGCACTCCACCTTGAAGACGAGGATCATGAAGATGAGCACCAGCGTGGTTTGGCCGCACATCACCACGAACTGGGTGACGACGTGGGAGAACAGTATTTCGCCCGGCGTCACTCCTTGGAAAAAAAATGGTTACAGTATCAAATAAGGATATAGACTGTTCTAAAACCGCTTGAGTTAATGCAGAAGCATAAAATTGGAGCAAATGGATTGAAAAACCATGCAGCTAAAAAAATTAAACTAAAGATTTGTTTCCTAAAAAAAAGACAATACAAAACATGGTTTCCTCTACGTCATGATTTTGAAAGTTGTATTCCATATTAATTTTTTCCACAATTGAGATTTTGAAATTAAAAGTACAACATAATAATGTGTCAAATAAATGAGCATATTCTTGGTGTTTTAGGTATATTTTTGTATTTCTATTTATAATAATTTTTATCTGTTAAGCCCTGTTTTTGAAATTCAGACGTTATTTAAAAAAAGAACATACTTCCAAATATCTTCCGAATAAATGATTTTCTTTTATTATACATTTGTAACGCAAATTTAGTTCGCAAAGTAGTTGTTTCCTACAGCATCATTAGTTATTAATTTTTAAGAAAATATATGACTTGGGCCTTTTAAAGTAAAGTAAAAAAAAAAACAAATGAAAATATCGAACGAAATTTTGGACGCACGAAATACTAACGACATTTAGTTTGAAAAAATTGAATTGAATACTAAAACCGGTGACCTGGACAAAAGGTGTTTTTGTCAGTATTGAAATAGGAAACTGATTTAAATATAGATTTACCTATACTTCAGTCGAATTAGCTCATAAAAACTGAAAATTTGAAAAAATTATTTTTTTTAACCGAATTTGAAAATTCGTATAAAAAATCCCGCGCTCGACCGAGAGCGACGTTCACGCGCATGCGCGGGCTCGGCGCTGCTCCCGCGTGCAGGCCTTTCATTAACGTTAACTTTTACTGCTACTAGCGCGTTTATTATATGAACTATCAATGTAAAACTTTCTGACAATAAAAGTTTAACCCTTTTTTTAATTGTCTCTAAAATACCGGTCCGATACGTCTAACGATTAATTAACAATTAATGTTATAAAAAAAGCTATCTTGAGAACAAAGAGGCGTTGGTGATTTCTCTTTTTTTTTAATTAACGTAAAAATAACCTCTTTTTAATGCAAAAAGAGCGAATTCCCGAGCGGCTTTTGCTTGGCCCTGGGACAATTTGTTTCTATCGTTGTTTAGCGCGTCCTATTTTGTTAGTCGTAAAGGGCAACTTAATTTCATTTTTTTTTCGATACGTTTATTTGGATCAATTGAACGTATATCTACGATAACTTCTAAAATTAACGTTTAGTAATTAAACAATTAGTTGCAAAAAAACGAATGAAATTAATTAGGTAACAAATACCTGGAGCAACAATTTCACGGTCAATCGAATCGGCCTTTGGTGCACCGTCTTTTCCATAAATTTGTCAACATCCATCGTTTTTTGCAATAATAATATAAAATTTTCGAAAACTGATTTTTCCTTGTTTAAATCCATCGTTTTGTGCAATAATATAAAATTTTCGAAAACTGATTTTTCCGTGTTCAACCTTTATCTTACAGTTAACAAATTGATGAAATATGACTTTGGAAATCTTGAATTGTAGGTAATTTAATTGCCTAAAACATAAAATGACTAATTTTCCAATATAGGTTGTCTAAATTTTCGTGGGTAATAAAAAAAGTGAAAAACACATACCCTTCCCCGTCATAAAGTGCAATAAAATGTCTACTAATAATTTTTTCACGTTCAAACTCTAATTCGACTGGAACTAAAAGATGGTTCTTTTCCAAATTGCTAATTTGTATTAAAATTGTTGAGGACTTGAAGTGAAAATGTTTATTTATGAAAACATTTTTAAATTTAGATGATAAAAATACTCTTCTATTTTTGACATCCGGTACATTGTTTAAAGCTTTTTACGTTTTCATTATGAAATTAAAAACAAAAATAAAATGTAGATATATCATTTAATATTCAGCCTTATAGGTATATAATAGTCAAAAAATGATGATCATGGTTCACCGACCCATATAGGAATATTACTAGGTCGCAAGAACCAGTTCTCAAGGCTGTAGAAACAACGTCGTAAACACTAATCCGTGTTTTATTATTCTAAATCCAAAGGGCTTTATTGTATTCATCTAATGCCAACAGCAGTGCGTTCATTATAAGTGACTTTGAACATTTAATTGATATGAGTGGTATGAATAATTTGGATATTAACATAAATCTTACATTTGGTTCGAAAAGCGATAGGTTTAATTTAAAAAATTATGCCAAGGATTCACTAACAACTTCCCTAATATGAAATTAATTCACACTATAATAAAACAAATTATTATTTTCAAAAAATGTAAAAAATAATGCATATCAGATATTAGAAAAAAAAAGAACACTTACCAGCTACCCAAGATCTGTCCAGTAGCCCCTCCATTCTTTCTATTATCAATGCAGATGATGTCAGTGCCACAGCCAAGAAGAAAACGATCCTGTTGATAGGAATAGATGATTAAAGTACATAATTTTATATTAGCTAATATGTAATTATAAATAAAGATAATTCAATGTGATCTTTTTGTTCAAAACACAAAATTTCGTACATTTAGAACTAAAGTAACAGTACTCACGTTAATATGACTCCAGGTGCTACGAAATCTGTAAATGACGGTTGATTGGATCCATAAATGGGTTTCTTGAAAGATATCGGAATTTCGGCAAGTGCTTCGTTATGTTCGCAATCCTTCAGTATATCCTTTGTAAAATTTTGGTAAGCCAACTGCAAATCTCTCTGAAGAATTATACCGATTTGTTGATCTGAAAAAAAGGATTAAAATTCATGCAAATTTTAAAAGGAATACAGATCTTTTAGTATTATTATTAAACATTAAGCCAGAAAAAGGCATTTTTCTACATTCTACATTATTTTTTCTACAGGAAGTCTAGAAGCAAATAGGTCTTATGTAGGTTTCAGAGAAAAATGGGCGATGCAGATTAATATAAAAAATAGTGTTATTTTTTAAAGGTGATAGAAAAAAAATATTTTAAAATTTTTTTAAAAGAGCAAAACTATACTAAATTCTAAATTTATTTTCATATAAGAAAACGTCCCTTGAAATACATATGACCCATAAATTTTGGGACGCCCTGATAATTTTGAGGCTCATTTTCCCACTATGTAATTGATTTGGTCAATGACCACGAGATAAAGTATGAAAAGGCGTTTCCAATGAGGCTTTTGATAAGCCAATCCTTAAAAAATGCATTTTTCTGATCAGACATTAGGGGCGTCCCCCACCCTTTCTGTCGAGATATAGAACAAAATGTCAATAACAAAAGTTATGCGCAATTAATCCGACTATCCATATTTGTAGTATTTAATATACCTGAATAGGAAACATTTTTAAGAAAAATTCAACTCTATATTTTGGTATGTAGATTGCACCCCCTAGCGGTCGAGCCACGAACTTTAAAACTATTTCCAGCGATTTCTCTTGGTGGATTTATTCATCAAATTTTTTCTAGGGCCTATTATTTCCCTAATATAATGGCTATAGGGGTCAATTTATAAAATGTCCTCGAGTCCAAGAATCGCGGTATTCATTCTGTTGACTTTGTGTTTTTGATGTAGACATTGTAGATACTACTTACTCGACATGTCTAACCAGACGCGGACCTCACTTTGCTCCAGCGTCTCCTGGTCCGCGTCCTTCCCCAAAGCCATCCTGGCCACTAAAGCGTCCGTAAAATTCTCCGTGAAGTACAGCGCCCCCCACGCCTCTCCTCTTCTCACCGCCATCTTCGCCAACTCCGGGTCTGCATAATACTGCTTCACTATAGTGGAGGTGTTCAACGTGTCCAGATACCTGCAACTCAGGTTCCCGAACTTGCACCCCTTCTCGTAGTGGCACCCCTGGTGCGTAAGGTTGGTGTAGTTGGCCTCGTGATTGACGATGGCCAGCTTGAGGCCTTTGGGGTCGCCACCGATGGCCAGGCAGAAGAGGATGACCTGCATGACGGGCAAAGCGAAGATGAACAGCATCACTCCTACGTTCCTCCACATCCGGAGGAAGTTCTTCTGGAGCAGGGCTTTGATCTTGCCGGTGGTGGTCCATTCGGAGCACTTGCCGCAGTCGTCGCAGGCCTCTTGGAGGTTGCGTTTGGAGGAAGACGGTTTACCACCCACCTGTCGAAGTTGGAATACTCTTTTTAGTTAAACGTCAATTATATCAGCAACAAATTACTAACATTGAATACAAATTGAAGAGTGTTGATAAACTACGTGTGAGTTGATCATCAAATGTTATTTTGAGAGATGGTCAAGGTTTAGATACTTACATCGAGGTGACCATTGCTGTCGGTGACCAAAATTTCCTTGCTCTGGTGGAAATTCAAGCCGACTACGCCACTCTCCTCCGTCACGGAGATAGAGTCCTTTTTGGCCCAATTTAGAGAAGCTAAACTTATGTTATTGCTAATATTTTGGTCTGCCTGTGCGGCACCAACCTGCACCTGTTTCCTAGATAGTTTCAAAAACACTTCCTCCAAAGAAGTACATCCATACATGGATAGCAGCACGTGAGGAGATTCTTCTGCTAGTAGCTTGCCACTTCTCATTAGGCCAATCTGAAGATAGAAATAACAGAATACATGCAAATTCTTATGAATTAAGGAAGACGTCAACGTCTGCCTACAATGGGGCTTGCAGATTAATGTCTGGGATTCAGAATTTCATGAAATAAGTCCTTACCGTATGTGCCTGTCTGGCTTCTTCGATGTAATGCGTCGTGATGATGACGGTCTTGTTGCCGCCCTTCGTGATTTGAACAAGGTGATTCCATATACTTTGTCGCAACAAAGGATCAACACCTACGGTCGGTTCGTCGAGGATGAGCAGTTCGGGATCGTGCATGAGGGCCACTGCAAAGGAAACCCTCCTCTGTTGCCCACCACTGAAATAAAAAAAATGTTAAACATACGAAGGTATTAACGTTTTTAAACGTACCTGAGGTTCTTCACCATCCTATTCTGACTAGGTAAATCCAGAAAGTTCAACAGGAACTGCAGTCTTTCGTAAATCTCCTTCGATTCCATGCCAAAGATCCACCCGAAGTACATCATGGTCTCCTTGATGGTGAACTCGCCGTAGAGGGCGATCTCCTGGGGCATGTAACCCACCCTCTTCCCGGGTACACCGGAGCCCCTGGTGCCGGGTCTGCCGCCTAACACCCAGATCTCGCCCGAGTTGAGCCTCCTCCTACCTACGATGCAGGATAGGAGCGTGGTCTTTCCGCAGCCGGAGGCGCCCAGCAGACCGTATCTGAAAGAGAAAGCGTGGTGAATCGGTCGTCTTGCGTAAATTTAGCGCGCATCGCCTTGCGTAAGTGTGTATACTTTGATTAACGGTGTGCCGTAATCGTATACGATATCGGACATATTGAATGTCCGAGGTACACATGCAGTGAAGACACTCTTTCTTAATCTCAGTTTTAAGGATTGTATAAAAACTGGTTTAATGTTTAAAAAACTCAAAATTCAAAACCATTTTATATAAAATGCACTAGAAATTTATCTGTTCCTCTTTTCAATCGGTCAAGTCGCAGTAATTTCTGACATTATTTGAAAACGTTCGAACGTATCTCATGTTAATAAATGACAATATATGGGTCTAGAATCTACGAGCTACTTTTCAGGGTAGACATAAATTAACGATTGACAAATTAGTAGAGTTAAAACAGTCGATTAACATGTCATTCCATTTCGGCCACTGACTTTGAAATTGACCTCTGTTTTGACTCTAATTTCTTGTAAAGGCTTCTAAGTTGATTTTTATTTTTAAATAGGTTTACAACACAGTTAAGTAAATCGAAAATAACTAAAAAGGGCAAGTGACATATAAAATTGTTCGGCAGTAAATAAACGATATTGAACATAACAAAATAAGCAACACAGGGTCGAATTTGCTTTTGAATTTACCAATAGGGACGTTGAGTTTTGGAAGAAAGTTTTTCATCGTACGTATATGAACTTGGATTAGTATGGATCCTGGAGGGCCATGTATAGTACTCCGAAAGTGGATTAGAGAAAAGATATTACTATTTTATGATGACCTTCTAGAAATCCCTATTTAGAACGTGTGAGGGTTTGATAGTTAAAAAAATGAGATCTAGAAATTATGATTAACCGAAATATTCTGCTCTACAGTAGTGAAAAAAATTGAACAAAAATTTGGCATCTACTTAATTCGATGTTTGCAAAAAGAATTTGTAGTTTTTTGTCACTGAATACTTCTTTACAAATGTTAATGCGTATTGTACAAGCAGTTTCACTAAAAACTTATATTTTTTTTTGATATTTCACTTGAATCGCATGTTATCAACTTGTGACGTACTAGAACATGGACACATTATTATAGAAAACTTATTATTTAAGTAACTCCTCCCTGTATCTATTAGTAAATAAATGGAGGGCAGTGGTATGAGATTTTAGTGTAGATGGTTTAGCAGGTCACAGCTGTCCAAATTTGTTTTAATCTTTCATTTTTATAAATCGTCAGTTAAATTTGATGATTTCATACAAAAATAAAACAGTACGGTAATTTTTTGTCACATTATGCTGTATAATATAATAAACATCAACAACTTATTGTATATTAATTTATTAACATATTACTTCTTTTTGTCAAATACATTTTACTTGTTTTTCGATTGTTGTTTATACATGATCAATAGGTAAGCCAAAATGCACCTTTTTTACAAAAGGTAGGATTTACAACACGACATATAACTTTGTCCTAATTGTATATAGGGTGTAAGAAGTATGACTGCCATAACTTAAGCATGAGATAGAGTAATCATAAATGAACAAAGATGTTGTGTATCATGGGGGTGTAAGATTAACAGTTTTCAAAATAGAGCGAGTATATTGGGGAGTTTCATCACAATGTGACAACAGCGCTACACAGCTGATGCACACCACGTGTGCACGCGGCCTACGGAAAAAATGTAAACGACTATTATTGTGAAACATTTAGTAAATTTCAAGACAATTGTTTTCCAGTTTTTAAATAAATAAAATAAAATGTATCGACTTTGTAGTACGAAGATAGTGTTGTGCTTAAATTTTAGCTCGAATTTTAGTAATTATGAATCTCTTAAAACAGNGTAAGTGTGTATACTTTGATTAACGGTGTGCCGTAATCGTATACGATATCGGACATATTGAATGTCCGAGGTACACATGCAGTGAAGACACTCTTTCTTAATCTCAGTTTTAAGGATTGTATAAAAACTGGTTTAATGTTTAAAAAATTCAAAATTCAAAACCATTTTATATAAAATGCACTAGAAATTTATCTGTTCCTCTTTTCAATCGGTCAAGTCGCAGTAATTTCTGACATTATTTGAAAACGTTCGAACGTATCTCATGTTAATAAATGACAATATATGGGTCTAGAATCTACGAGCTACTTTTCAGGGTAGACATAAATTAACGATTGACAAATTAGTAGAGTTAAAACAGTCGATTAACATGTCATTCCATTTCGGCCACTGACTTTGAAATTGACCTCTGTTTTGACTCTAACTTCTTGTAAAGGCTTCTAAGTTGATTTTTTTAACAAAATAGGTTTACAACACAGTTAAGTAAATCGAAAATAACTAAAAAGGGCAAGTATCCAAAGACTCACGTCGTCCAAATAATCTCATACGTATTAAAAATAATTTAGGGACTTGCCAAAAAGCAAAATTCAGTAATTTTTAAACGCACATGTACAAAACAAAGTACAACATATGTTCAAAATGTCCACCACCATATTCGATGCTCGCACGACACCTTCGAATCCAATTTTCGCGCACTCGCTGGAAAACACCTCAAGAAAAGGACATAGTGGTACGCAAAAAACACTCCGACACGGTCGAATCCCTCTTATTTCTCCCTCTCGTAATTGTAATATGATTGATTGATAGAAGGTGCCTATAATAAATTAAAATTATCTGAATTACACCAAATTTCGCATTGCTGCACTGCACTGCTGGGTAATTTATCAACCACTTGTCATCTGCTGAGATTTATTGCCCAGTAGCCCAATGCAACTGTGTTCGTTTTCCTTTGCCCGCGGTCGTATTCTTCAACTGGGCGTATACATTTCTACCACCTCCACGTTTAGTTCGACCAGACCTGTATATGGGTACGGCTAAATAAATATGGGAACAAGTTTTTCAAATATTTCAATGCCGAGTTGCTGCGTCAGCGACCGAACCAGGTACATACTGTCAATCTGTTGGTTCTTCAATACCTCGTGTTAATAAACCACCGCACCGTTGTCACATTGCTCGATATGAATTTTATCGAATTTTATATTTATTACAACGCTAATTATTTTTTAGAATTAAGCATAAAGAAGTTAAAAAAGTGATAAACATTGTATTTTATGGTATTCTATGCACGCTGTTATGTTTCTCGGATATGATTGAGTTTAGGACCTATGTCATATAAGGTTATTTTTTATTTATTTTAATGTATTCTATCGTCTGTTAAAATTAAGGCAGTCAAACTTCTAACACCCTGTATAAGGGTCCGATTGGACATACGAAATAAGGATACTTTTATACATAGACTTTTTTCGAAATAATTCCTCTTTAAAACTGGATAGTAAATATTACAGAAATATTTTTTATCTTAAAAGTGTATTGAGATTCTTATTCGTATTTTAAACTTAAACCTGTAGTACAGGTATGCATTTTAATTTAAGTATAGAGTCAAATAGAGAATATCGAAACCAATTTGCTTTACACCTGCGGACAACAATTAACTATTTCATTGCGTAGATTACTCATGTGTTTAAATATCAAATTATTATAATTAATAATCTATAATTGTGCAACCTTGCCAATACTTTTTTAGGAGCCTTTATATGACGTCTTACGAATTTTATTGTAATATATAAGCTGGTTAAGATTTCATCTCCCTTCACTACAGATATAGGCTGATTAGAATATGTCCATGTATAAAAAAAATTATTTCCTACTATTTATTTTTACTGGGCATAACGTAGAATATGATATAGTATCGGCTCCTATTGGTCGGATCGATACGCTTTTTTTTAAAAATTCATGTTTTTTTAAGCACTATTGAACCAACATGGAATCATCAAAAATGTGTTGTGTGATAGAAAAGAGTTTCTCCTTTCCTAGGAAAAAATTTAATATCGTTAATGTCGAAATCTTGGATTGCCAAAAAAAATTTTTATGAATGAATAAGTTACCTTCATTTTCTGATATATTTCTAAAGAGGAATTCTTTGTTAAATAAAATCCAAAAATGTGTTAATAAAACGATAGGAAAAGGAGTTCAAGATGTGTGTGAGAGGGGGATGTCTTCTTTAAACACAAGGCGATTTCGCAAAATACATTTGAAGTCACATATTTACACAATAAATATACGAAGTACTTTTCTTGGATTAACAAATAAGATTAAAAATATATTTGTTCCTAGAAATTTTGTTTCGTTTGCTCTAGGTAATTTATACACCAACGTTCCTGTACCAATTTGCGTTTAGTCAACAATATGCTGAATGTTTCTAATTTATCAAATTATGTTGCAAATTGCATTTTTGGAATACTTAAAAATCTGTCTTCGTTAAAATTCTTTTATTTTTATGATGAAATTCCTAAACTGATGGTCTTAGAATGGTTAATCTATTACCACCTTTACTTTCTGATATGTTTATGAATTATTTGGAATTGATTGTTTTCACAAATTCACAAATATTCACAAAAATAAAATTTTATATTGTTGCTGACATGTTTATTGGGATGGGCTAAATAAACAATAGTTTCAATAGTTTCCCTGTTAATATCTATTTTATTCTTGAAACAGAAACTAAACTCATTAAACTTTTTAGATTTAACAATTTCAAAAGTTGATAAAGCCACATACATTTAAAATATTTAAATAACCTTTTCAAACTTCTCATATGATACCTAGGGACTCTAATGACTCTTATTCTCAAAAGATTTCTTCAATTAATTGTTATATTCTTTTGTATGTTTTGGTAATTATTTAAAATTAATATATTTCTTGAAAATGGTTATAGTATAATATAGTTATGAATTAATTAATATTTTTATACATAAGTAATTTATACTATTAATTTTAATTCAGATGTCACTATTTATGTTAAACTTTATTTTTTTTTTTTGTTCTCATAATATACCTAGGTAACGTTACAAAGAAAGATTTATAATTTAAGTTTGCATTTAAAATTTCCCATAATTTAAAAAACGTTTTTGTACACACTAGGGATCAAATTGTTGATACTGATTGTTGTGAATTTTATCTTTTATGTTGTAATGGTTGTATTTATTATGATGGTCAAAGTGGTAAGAAGAATTAAGGATTGTTACACAGTTAATTAAGAATAATTCCGAATACGTTTTTTTTTGTAGATACTTAAAATTACACAGTCATAACGACAATAATTTTAAATTCTCGCATAAGTCTGGATTGTCCGGTTGTGGATGGAATATTTTGGAAAATTTGGAAATTTGGATGTTTTTAAATATTTGAATAATTGTCTCGTTAATTGCCGAAACACGAAATCCGTGATGGAATTCTCTACTCCTTTTAAGTATAATAGCAGCTAAATTCATTGTGTGTCCACAATTTGTCACGATGACTTAAAATCACTGATATTTTCATTTTTACATAAAAATTATGGATTAATTATGGTTAATTAATAATTTTCTTTTCCAAGCAAACCAAGTATAACTAAAACATATATTAATAGATTTCAATGAATGAATGTAGTTATTTAACTTTATATTTTACACAATATTTGGAAATTAAAAATGGCTTTAATATAGTCCATCAGTCCTTTGAGAAGGTCTATATAGACTAGATAAACATAACCTTAAGAATTTCATAAATACATTAAATGCGTTTTAATTGACATTTAGGTTCTTCCTTAATATCTGGCCTGTTAAAAATTAAATTATTTTTAATGACGGAAACATATTTATTACTGGCCCATTCTGTGACCAGATAAAGTCTTATAAGAAGTTTGAATCATATTATAATTTTGATCAGAGTAAAATGAATTAAACGCGTATTCTTTATATTAACACTTTTTTAATTAAATATTCACGAAATTTCAAACAATAACAGTACTTTATATACTTAGGTATTTCACTGAGTATGAAGATATAATTTTACGAAACGTCAGTAATTTTTTTCTGGTTTTTCCACATTTCTTTCCGCTTAAGTATGTATTCCTAAATATGTTCTGTCAAAAATAGAAATTCTGGGAATATCAGGATCTGTTAACTGCTATAATAATGTGTGAAATAGTTGTTCAAACATATCACACACCATAAATCAAATAAGGTCTATTATGCAGAATGCACTACAGTTTGCGAATTGTTGAGCATCCACCAAAATTTCCATTACATTGTAACTCTTAGAACCTTGAAAGTTAAAAAAAATTGTTTCAAAATATCTCGTGTATTTTCATGTTCGTTTCCGATATGTCCAAATATTTGATATTTGCTTATTCAATAAAGGATTCTTTAATATTTGGTCAATAATCCTTAATGTGTTTGTACACATATTATGCATATGTATTCTATGAACCTAGGATGCTTCATTGCCGTCTATTTTTAATAGCATTTTTACCATCTTGCGAAAAGTGCAGTTTAAGATTTATTACAATTTTTCTAAGAGTTGGCAGCTTTTAGTGTTAAAAGCATGTAATAAAATGAATCGTAAAAGTTCCTAGTAAATTATTTAATTTAAAATTGCAAATATTAAATAATAATAATATTCAAGTACTACAAGTTTTTTTTCTCAAGTTCTTTATGAAAATATCACTGTGTATATTGTCTCGTGGAAATACATCAATTAGCTTGTTGTTTTGATGTTCATTAGTGCCTTGAGAAATATTTATAAACTCCAATATTTGCAAATCTTGCTTTTCAAACGTTATAAAAAACCCAGTGATGGATTATTTTAGTGTTAATTTATTCGTCGACGTAAATTCGAAAACAAATTGTTCCTCCAAAAAGAAGACGCACGTGTTAATTTCTTTCATATTAATGCTGTCACTGGAAAGGCAATGACGTAGGTACGTTGAAACTGTAATTATTATACGATACTAATATTTATTGTAATTTAATATATACATTTTTTTTACGTACAGACTCGGCTTGGAATTTGTTTTGTGTCATCAATGCTCCGTACATAAATAGCCAGTTAATGTACTTTAAGCGTTTTACCGTCACAAAATTCGTCTTATTACCTATGCATTTTATTATGTTGACGCTAATAGCTACAACTGTAATTAAGGAAAAATATATGTAATTACGATATTGGCGTATTTTTTATATAACCTTTAAAATTTATGTCTTGTTTATGGTAAATATGGTCGTTTATTTGTAATTTATGTCTAAATATACACTACTGTGAATGCAGAGAAATGTACAAGATATTCACATAACATTCTACCTCTCTTATTTTTTTTACCTTCCATCTAGAAAAAAGGGTAAAGATTAGATAGAAAAAATATCTAAAATAAAATGAAACGAAAGAAACATAAAATAATAATTTAATGTACAGGGTGGTTGATTTTCGATAGTTTTATAGGGTACAGCCAAAACGATGATAGATACAAAAAATCTGATATACAGGGTGTTAAAAAAAGAGTGTAAAATATTTCAGGAGGTAATAGTATAAACCAAAATAAGCAGAAAAGTTAATAAACATGGGTCCGCAAAGTAACGGTTGCGGAGATATGGACCACTATTCGTTTTTCAAACATTTCATTTTATTAGGAATAAACCGACAAAGGAAGCTTTTAACAAACAAAAAACAAAGTTACAGAAGATGTTCAAAGTGCCCTCCGTCCATTTCCAAGCAGGCACGACATCTTCGTCTCAACGATATTCGAACTCTTTCGAAAACACCCTCCTTGGTTTGGATTTCTTGACACTTTTGATTAATCCATAGCTGCAGCTCTTCCAGGCTATTTACAGGAGTACCATACACTAATGTCTTCAAATATCGCCAAACAAAGAAATCTAGAGGGTCCAGATCAGGCGATCTTGGAGGCCATAAAACAGGTCCGGGCCTTCCTACTCATCTATGTGGAAAAGTTTGGTGTAAATGCTCTCTAACGGCCATGGAAAAATGAGCTGGAGCACCATCATGCTGGAACCACATTTGTTGCCTCTGATTCAAAGGAATGTCTTCCAAAAACTCATACAGTGTGTGCCTGATGTCCAGATTCTGTTAGAGCATGAGGATTTTCGTCGGCCCAAATATGCGTATTGTGAAAATTAAACACTCCATTTCTTGTAAAAATTAGTAAAAAGAATGTTTGCAAGAAAACGAGGGTCTTCAGCATCATGACGTAGAAGCCAGCGGGAAAAAAACAAACGTGCTTGATGATCATTTATTGGATTTAAGGCCTGTACTCGTTGCACATGGTATGGATAAAGCAGTTGCTCGTGAAGGATTCTCCAAACAAGAGGACCACTAATTCCTACCTCGGCTGATATTCTCCGCACACTCGTACCTGGATTCTGCTCTACCAGTGCTAGAATTTCTTCTTCTGCTCTAGGAGTGGATACCGACCTTGGTCTTCCGGATAAATGGCACTGTTTGCTCAAGGAACCGGTATCACGCAATCTTTGGTGAATTCTTCCAAACATGCGTTGTGAAGGAATCTGGCGATTTGGATAAGCGTCAACATAAAGACGTCGCGTTCCCATTAGCACGACCATACATGAAATGCATGTCTGTTAATTCTGCGTTAGAGTAACCAGCCATAGCGAAAGAATACTTGTGCACTGAGAACAACTGTCAAATACGTACTGTTTGTTTCACTAAACATCAACCAACTATCATAAGAAAATACACAACGTTTTTGCAAAATAAAAAAAGGGGCTAAAAAACATAAAACATTCCATATCTCCGCAACCGTTACTTTGCGGACCCATGTTTATTGAGACTTTTATGCTTATTTCAGTTCATACTATTACCTCCTTAAATATTTTACACTCTTTTTTAACACCCTGTAGATGTCCCGTCCTCTTCTTTTGAGTTTACTTCACTCGTACCAGAAGATCTTGGCTACCTTGATTAATTTTACATACAAAAACCCTGTTTTTTTAAAAAATCGCCCATTTACATTAACCTCTCTATCTCCGTTGTCAATAAAAGAGGAAATAAGTTTCAACATTATTTATTAAATTTTTATGGCGAAGCCACTGACGTATTCAGATTTTTTACAAATACACAGTTTTTCCGATATTAGATAATCATAGTTTTTTTTCAATAGAACATCCTGTATTTGGCCATCCCGTTTCAGTTAGCCATGTGATTTATTTAGTATTACTTATAATGTTTATTAAATTAATATGATTTGTACATTTCACTTATCAAACCCAGAACTTAAACATTAAAAAAGCTGTCACGATGAGAATGTGAGCACTCTCGGTTCAAAATATTTCTCTAATCCAAATTTTAAAGTTAAATGAGTGAACTGTTATAACTGTTTCGGCTTACTTTCTGCTGTTACAAACAGTACATCCGTGCACTGAATATTTAGTCGTGGAGCGGCATTTTAAAATCTCCCAACACTCTTTCAATATTAACTTACATCGTTCCTTTGGCCACTGTCATATTCAAATTGCTGAGGACGTGGTTAGGCTTCTTCTTGGATCCATAGTGTTTGAAGGCGTGCCTCACGCACACAGCTTGCTGTCTGTTGTTCCACACGGTGGACTGTTGGTGTGTCAGGGGTGGCCTCTCTACGTTGACCCCTACTAGGTCCGGTCCTGGAACCGTCGGTTCTACCCTATCGCCCATCGTTGATCCTTCACTGAAACAATAGGGAGAAGTTAGAATTTCTAAGGTTAGAAATGTCTTAGGGGCTTAGTTAGTCGTTTGTAAAATAAAACAGAACTGACTTGTGTTTATCTCACGAGATTGAAGATTGCAGTTACTACAGCAATTATGAACAATAACTTTATCTACAATCACACATTTTTTTATATTGGTTTGATTTTTTAAAATGTCCATTTAAAAACGTTACACCGCTGTATCCTTTTGATATGGCCTGTAATAATTTGAATTTGATGACAATTATCTCTGTCATTAACAATAATAAAATCATCCTTGTTGAACCTTTATTAGATGTTACATTTTTTCGTTGCTACAGTGGTGACAAACAATACACTGTGGTTTGAGTTGCCATGTTGTTTGTATATTTCATTGTGCCTTGTGACTAATTTTGAAAAAAATAATGGATTCCAGCTATTCTGAAGACCATAACAATTCAGTTAAAATTGATAGACATAGATACTGATATGTTTTAAGATTTTTTAATCTCGTTTTAATTACATTTTTCCATGTTTTTTATTTTAATTTATTTATTTTTTTACATTGCAAAAAACCCATATTTGCGAACTTTGACCTTGAATAAATATAGATCGATTTCTCAAAAACCAATAGTGATATACATGTGTCCCAGAAAACAATGGTCATACGCAACCGCAGATTCTTTTGGTAAAAACAACTGAATTTAAATCAACCTACTTTAGACCAAATATGTTTCTTCTAAACGTTATAGGGTGTTAAAAACTGATTTTTGAAATGGTTTTTAGGAAGGACATAATCATATGTCATAATGGGATATCACAGGAAGCAATAAAAATCATCTTCAGACATTTAATTGCATCATTGGCGTACACGGGATGTATAACCCCCACTTTTTGAAAATATTTTCGCGCCTATGCATCTCTTAAGAAAAGCGATTGCCTTTCTGACAGTTCTGTTAATTCTTCGGGATAAATGCCTCTTGTTAATTTTTCTTAAAACTGCTAGACTTCGAGTAGAGTAGACTTCGAGTCGATGATTCATTTTGTTGCCTAAAAATAAATAATAATTGGAATAAATCTGGAAAGTGAACCATTTTAAGAACTATGTTTATAATAACTTTTTTGTTCTTTTAAGTTTGAAAGGGTTAACATACATTATCTTTTGGGATCCTTCCAGTTTCTGAATCTGAACGAACTCATGTACCTACAGCAAAAAAATATTCTGTAACAATCGACTCATCTCTTTAAAGAAACAAATATAATCGTATGAGAATATTTACTAAAATCTTTCGCTTCTCATATATGGTTAATTTAGTATCTTAAACTTTTTTTTTAAATTGAAATCTATCAATTTTAACAGAAATTGACAGAAAACATTTGTAGTGTGGAACCGACAGATACAAAAATTTCGTAGTTTTTTTCTGAAAAGGTCCACAGATGAAAGTATTTTCAAAATGTGTGTACGCCACTGATGTAGGATGGGATGGTTTTTATTGCTACCCACGCCCCTATAACATTACCTTTGAGTCAGATACCATTACGTTGGTTCTCAGATATTTCTGGAAAACTATATCAAAAGAACGATCTGAAACCCTTTATCGAAGCATTGTTGAACTCAAATTGAAATTATTTAGAAGCACTACATATCAATTTTTAGAAAATCGAGATACTTTCTTTTATTTTCGAAATGTCAGATTACGAAGTTTTACGCGGAAAACCTTGGGGCATGTGATTTAGTAATCTTGGATACCTTGATCTACTCATAACCTTTATTTTACATTAAAACGTACACTATGACCTACAAATTTCGAGAAATCAAGCAATTCCCAATACATTCTTCAATCGCCCATTGCCATGGCAAAATTCAATGTGAGCTAAGTCTATCAATAAGGCATCTTATACGTGGTGAAAAATCACCTTGGACGATGTGCGTTACTTAACAGTATTGCCTGAAGTAGGACGGCCGACCTAGATCGTAACTAGACGAACGAAAATGCGTTTTGTTTAGTAATAACAAGACGCATATTTGCGAGGTGATGGCGACGAATCGAAATCAAAAGTAATTATTATGTACCGTTGATTTCTTCATGATATAAAAGAAAATAAATAACGAGCGAGGCTGTGTGGTATGGTGTATTAACTCTTTCTAATACTAGTAGAATTTGTAGATAAAACCAGCAGCATGGGTAATTTAACAATAAATAAATCAAATGATCGCACCTTGTATCCTATGTTCCTTGGTTTTGGGCCGCACGTATTAAACATAAAGTTGCATACGTATGAATATAGAATAAAAACTTTTTACTTAATGCTATTGTATGATAATATTAGTAGAATTGTAATTGCTACCGATTTCTGCAATATTAAGATAGCTCAATTAGTGATCGTGTTAATTTTGAGGTCAATGTACAAGACGAACCTTATCGATCAACGACATCCTTGGGGCATACCTTCCTTGAAAAAAAAAAGTCTGGAAACTTTCCAAAACGTTAAGGCTACGAACAAAGTATGTAGATTTGTTGTAAGATTGTCTGTATGGATTTGTATTGTGTGCAGAGTGATGTGAAATGCGTAATAATTTAGCTTGCCATTTGACAACTATTTAGAAAATACTTATGGAAAGAACTAAAATTGTAACAATGCAAATTATCAGTTTTTTGTTTGTTATGTGCATTTTTTTGAGAATTGTGCAGCTCGAATGTATAATCTTGATAAATTTTCATAAATAGTATATTGTTCTTTTAGTATAATCTGCTTAAAACGTAGTTTAAAATAAAAAATAACTAAAATTTTTGTTAGTTGTCATAATTTGAAAACTGTCAATTTTTCAGTTAACTATTCAAAGTATCAAATTCTGTAGTAAACCATACAGAATAAATTATACAAGGTGGCCACCGAGGTATCCGAGATACTTCGTATATAGTTCAGTCGGTATCTGTTTTGAAAGTAGGTTATATGGATGTTTCATATAGTAACGCTAATTTTTGTTGGAAATAGTTCTAAATATTATGTAAAATGATAATTGCGATATGCGCCCGCTGAAAAAGTTGTGCATAATTGTTAACGCAAGGCGTATTTTTCTCCCTCCTTTCATGTATAACTCGGAGAATATTGACATTAGAGAAAATAGTCAAAGGAAAAAAAGTTTCGTTTTGAGATTATCTTCAAAATAAAAGTGGTCCAAAATTTTTATGTGCATTATTGTTACTGCAATACAGTATAGACTGAAAAAAAATTGTGAAAAAAGATGTTTTTTTCTTGAATTTATTTAGGATCTTGACTTTAGAGAGTATTGCAGAAATTTTTTCATCGAAATTATTATTTTGAGCTCCCAATTTAAAAATTTTGGATTTTATCCATTTTAGCGACAATATGAATTTTTTCAAACTTTCTTCGAAAAGATACTTATAAACATTTAGAGCTGGAGCTACCATATTTGCGTATTCTTCAAACGTGATTATAGGATCAAATAGAGGAAGGATTTACGAAGAAAATCACTTTTGATCTTGTGGATAAGATGAATCGTTATCAAGATATGACAGTTCAAAGTTGAAGTAGGTTTCGGGCAAACGTACTGTACGATAACAATCAAAAGTGATTTTGATTGTTTGAAGCAAAGACTTTATAACTATGAAAATTTGTTTAAATCGGAAATGTATTTTAACTGTTCTGATGCAAAAAAGATTGATACATTTCACAGGAATCGAGCAGAGAGACAGAGAGTGTAATAATTCTGTATATTCTTAATTAACATTTGAATTGTGCGAAATCTACCCTGCCGATTTCGATGAAAAAATTTCAGCAATATTACCATATCATGAAGTACTCAGAACCATACTTTTATATGGCTGCTCGAAAGTTAAAGTCCGAAATAAATTAATGAGAAAAACATCTTTTCACGATTTTTTTTTTGATTTATACTGTATTGCAGCAACAATAAATACACATAAAAATTTAGAACCACTTTTATTTTGAAGAGAATCTCAAAACGAAACTTTTTTTTCTTTGACTATTTTCTCTAATCTTAATATTCTTCGAATTATACATGAAAGAAGGGAGAAAAATGCGCCTTTTTTAAATCTTTCTTTAAAATTTTGCGCAAACAATTATGCACAACTTTTTCAGCGGGCGCATATCGCAATTACCATTTTCAATAATATTTAGAACTATTTCCAACAAAATTTAACGTTACTATACAAAACATCCATCCCGAAACAGATACCGACTGAAGTAATATGATTTCCATGACTAATTTTAACGAAAAATGACTGTTCACTTTTCCCAAATTCCCAATGGTTCTTGAAATATCGAGGTTTGAAGTTGCCAGCCCGTATGGGTAATTGCTAAAGAATAAATTACATTGTTGTGTTGTGCTAAAAAAAATATGGTTTATTTAGTAAAAGCGTAATGACAATGTAATTATTACAGCTGCTCAATGTGATCACCGCGTTGTGCAGTGCATAACTTCGAATCTCTCGTTGCCAGTTGTATTTCTCCACATTGTTGTTCACCTCATCAAACGCTGTATAATCTTCTCAATGAATTGATCCCTGCAGTTAGGCTTTCTCATTAAGTATGTAAGCGTCCTCACATGTCCCCACATGAAAAAGTCTAGTGTGTTGAGATCCGGAGATCGCAGTGGCCAAGCAATGGGACCACCGCGATCTATTTGAATACTTTTTATTGAGGAAATTAGTGAGACCTTTTCTATAAGGGAACGAGCATCATCGTGTAAAAAGAATATCATTCTGATTTGAAGAGGAATGCCCTAAAGTAATACAGGTAGATCGTTCTTCAAAAAAGCCCGATACATCTCGCTCTTCAAATTGAAGTTGATAAAATGTAGTCCAATAACTTCATTAATAATGATTATTCCAGCCCAAACGTTTACGGGAATCTTCTCTGAAAATGAATTTCTCGAATATCATGAGGGTTTTCGATTGCCCACACATGATCGTTGTGGAAATTGTTGATTCCACCTCTTGTAAATGTAGATTCTTCA